CCCTCTGGTATTTGGGTCTCAGTTTCCTCAACTACAGAGGCAGTTGTCTCCCCTTCCCTTTCTGGTTCTTCAAGAGTGCCCTTCTTTGTCTTTGGTGGTGCCATGGTGCCTAATGTGTTTTAAAATGGCGCTCGAAGTGTTCTCTCTCTGAGGTAATTCTTGGTGTCACGTTTTGACAAGATTTTACCTCAGGATTCACACAAAAATGCCCTGGATTGAGATGTTACACGAATCCACACCGCTGCAAACCAATTATAAAAGCTCCTTTATTGGCCGTCTGGGCAGGGGGGTCAAAGAATCCCACCACTGCCACCAAATTATAAAGACTCCTTAATGCTATTTGGGCAGGGGGTAAAGCAAACCCACCTATGCCACACCAATTATAATAACCAGGCAGATGGCAATGTGATCATTCCCACCATCTACTCCTAATCATAAAGGCAGTCTTTATGACCAAACAATATCACTGGACAGGGGGCAAACAGATCCCAACACTGTCCCTCCTTCAATAAGGAATTCACACCACTTTGGCTCTTATAGCGTTTGAGGGGATGTCTCTTTATTTAAAACCTTCGCTGCCACCATAAACTGAAGAATCAGGAACCCTCTAGCTATTTAGAATGTTAAAAGGCTTCTTAAAAACACTTCTAGGACCACCAAGTACTGTTTATTACCAAGGGCTTCTTTGAGGGGAAACAGGGGAGGTTGATTCAAAAATGAAAGGGACTCAAAACACAAATGGCACTTGACTCAGGCTTAAATTTTAAAAATAACAAGAAAGATTTTATTGAATACAAGTTACAGAATAAAAGTGAATGCAGGTGAAAAGGCTTAGCTGTTACAATTAAAGTGTTCTTTGTTCTTAGAAGCGTATCAGTTGCATGAGAGAATGGTTCATTTCTTTGTTACAATTCTTAACCAAAACCCAGCTATTTTCTTTTCTAAAATAGCTGTAACCAGTCTGCCACAGCCTACTTTGCTGTGCAAACTACAGGCAAGCTGCCTATTCCTAACAGAGACTCCTAAAACTCTAATCCTACTCTAACATCACCCAGAACTGAACTGAACTGTCAAAATAAGCTGCTCTCTTTCCCTCCAACTGACTAACTCCGCCCCCCTTTTCCAAACCAATCCTGGCTGTTGCTGGGCTGGCTCAGGCCTAGGCCACTCCCCCTCTCTGAACTGGAGCTTTTCCCTAAACTAAGATGGCTCCAGCAGCTCTCTGCCAGGCCTTCTAAGCTGAAACTACCTAGCCTGTCTCTTCCTAGGCCCTGCCACCCCCCAGCTGGCAAGGTAAGGGATCTTCACATCTGACAGCTATAATTCTAACAAGTACCTTCTTGAGGATTTGGGAAAGCACAAAGATAATTACATCCCGAATAGACTACTGCAACGCGCTCTACGTGGGGTTGCCCTTGAAGACTGTTCGGAAACTTCAACTAGTCCAGCGAGCGGCAGCCAGATTGCTCACTGGAGCGACATACAGGGAGCACACCACCCCCCTGCTATGCCAGCTCCACTGGCTGCCGGTTCAATTCCGAGCACAATTCAAGGTGCTGGTTTTAACCTACAAAACCCTGTACGGTTCTGGTCCAGTGTATCTGTCCGAACGTATCTCCCTTTACGTCCCACCTCGGAGTTTGAGATCATCTGGGGAGGCCCTGCTCTCGACCCCACCACTGTCACAAGTGAGGCTGGTGGGGACGAGGAGCAGGGCCTTCTCAGTGGTGGCCCCTCACCTGTGGAACTCACTCCTGGGGGAAATCAGGGCATCATCATCCCTCCTCTCCTTCAGGAGGAGGGTGAAGACATGGTTATGGGACCAGGCCTTTGGGCAACCAGGCAATTAAATAAGACAATCAGACGAGTAAGACCAGCAGGATTGACAAAGTGGAATCAAAAATCAGATCTATGAGATAGCGAACGCTGACAGTGTAGGAGGAGGAAATGGGTTTGTATTGGTTTTTATTGATTGTATTGATTTTATTGGAATAATGCATGAAGATGTTAGTAATTGTGAATTTTATTGTAAGTTGAGATGATTGTTGTGATGCTGGCATCTAATCGTGCCTTTACTGTGTAAGCCGCCCTGGGTCCCCTTCGGGGTGAGAAGGGCGGGGTAAAAGAACCCCAAATAAATAAAAAAAAAATAAATGTATACATGTTGGATTCAAGGCAACACTGGCCCTCAGGGGACTTTGGAAGGTTGTTTTTCCACAAAAGAAATCTGCTTCTGAATGCTGCATATCCCTGTGGACACAGAGGCAATTTTGCCATATTTATAGCCCATTTTTGGTCCAAGATGGGCCATTTGTCCAACTCAAAGCTGAGTATGAAAGGAGAGATCCATCTTATATTAAAGCTTCTCCTCCTCAGATGAAGGAAAAGGCGGAGCGTGCCCTGCAAGCAAAGAACCTGCCTCTGGACGTGGTTATTGAAAACCTGACTCTTCGGGAGAGTCGCCGAGACATTGATGTGGTGAAGGACCCCGTTGAGGATGAGTTGCACAAAGAGGTGGAGGTGATAGATGCCACCAGGAGAGACCTTCAGCAGAAAGTGAGCGAGGCCTTTGAGCAACTCTGGTGAGCCAAAGGGCCTGGAAGGGCCACAGCATCTTAGCTTTGTGTCTTCTTTGGGATTTAGGGATTAAAAGAGGACTTGGCAATATATGGTTATTCCAGATGATGTTGACTGCAAGTATCCCTCATCCCTGCTGTCTAGGGCTGATGGACGATGTAGTCCAGCAACATCTGCACAGTGCTCCTTTCTTAAAGAACTTCACAACTCTCTTGTTCTTCATCACACAAATAGTTTGACCATGTAGCTCTGTGACCTTACATTCTTCAACGGTCAAAAGTCCTAAATATTTATGGAGTGGTTTTCAGATCCCCAAAGCATTTGGGTATTGCATCTTCTCTCAATACCTTACCAGGGCAGTATATATAACTGATGTAAAACAATTGCACACTGCATATCAGAACAGCTTCAAAAAGTCCAATGTTATTTATTTATTTACAGCATTTATATTCTGCCCTTCTCTCCCCAAAGGAGACTCAGGGCGGATTACAGAACACATACACGGCAAACATTCAATGCTGTTAAACCAGTAGTTCCCAACCTTTTTTTTTTTTGGCCAGGGACCACTTTGACCAAGGGACCACTTTGACCAGGGACCACTTTGACCAGGGACCATTTGACCAGGGACCACTTTGACCAGGGACCACTTTGACCAGGGACCACTTGACCAGGGACCACTTGACCAGGGACCACGACCAGGGACCACTTTGACCAGGGGCCACTTTGACCAGGGACCACTTTGACCAGGGACCACTTTGACCAGGGACCACTTTGACCAGGGACCACTTGACCAGGGACCACTTTGACCAGGGACCACTTTGACCAGGGACCACTTTGACCAGGGACCATTTTGACCAGGGACCACTTTGACCAGGGACCACTTTGACCAGGGACCACTTTGACCAGGGACCACTTTGACCAGGGACCATTTTGACCAGGGACCACTTTGACCAGGGACCACTTTGACCAGGGACCTTGACCAGGGACCATTGACCAGGGACCACTTTGACCAGGGACCACGTTGACCAGGGACCACGTTAACCAGGGACCACTTTGATCAGGGACCACTTTGACCAGAGACCTCTTTGTCCAGGGACCACTTTGACCAGGGACCTCTTTGTCCAGGGACCACTTTGAGCAGAGGCCACTTTGACCAGGGACCACGTTGACCAGGGACCACGTTGACCAGGGACCGCTTTCCAACATTAGTACCAAAAGGGTTATGAATCAGTTTTTGGTCAACTTTAGATTTGGTTTTGTTATTTGCGGTGCTGATTCAGAAAATTACATTGGATAGACCACATCAGCTCTAGTTTCTGATACAGAACATATGCCATCCAGTAGTCACCATCAAACTGGTCAAAGTGGTCCCAGGTCCAAGTGGTCCCTGGTCAAAAAAAGGGTTGGAAACTACTTCTCTATAGTATAGAAAGTTTGAATGACCCAAGATCATCCAACTTTTTCTGGATTCTCGTGTATTCTTCAGTTGTCTGTCCATTTGTTCCTGGACTGCACCTTGCATCCTCCCTCGCTTCCAGCATAACTAATGTTGAGGAATGTTGAGCATTCATTGCAGGCTAACAACATGGGAGGGGGGGGGGGGTCCCAATTTCCAGTTTTCTCCTTTAATACCCGCCCATTTTACCTCACTGTTACCATTTTTCATTTCCAGCTTACTGCAAGAGGCCCGTCAACAGCTGAACATGGACCATCGGGGCAAAATGGAAGCCCTGGAGATTGACCGGACCTGTGTCTCCCTCAACATCCATTCCCCCAACATCTCATACAAAGTCAATCCCACCCGAGTGCCGAATGAGTAAGCGTATGCTCCATGGATCAATAATCAAAGAGACTTGATTGTCCTTCTCTCCTCCAAAGGGGTGTTTTGGTAGATGGGCTGAAAGTGGCTGCTCCTGGAAAAATGTTTTGCAAAGCCACAAGACCCGTGTTTACTGATGTAGTTGGCAAACAGCTTTGTTTTTTTTTAATCCAATTTAATATTGTTGAAGCCTGGTAACACTGTGAGCTAGTAACATCCCTTTGATGTGTTTTGATGGCAGTTGGATGGTGCAGAAAGTCATAGAATCATAGAATCAAAGAGTTGGAAGAGACCTCATGGGCCATCCAGTCCAACCCCCTGCCAAGAAGCAGGAATATTGCATTCAAATCACCCCTGACAGATGGCCATCCAGCTTCCAAAGAAGGAGCCTCCACCACACTCCGGGGCAGAGAGTTCCACTGCTGAACGGCTCTCACAGTCAGGAAGTTCTTCCTCATGTTCAGATGGAATCTCCTCTCTTGTAGTTTGAAGCCCTTGTTCCGCGTCCTAGTCTCCAGGGAAGCAGAAAACAAGCTTGCTCCCTCCTCCCTGTGGCTTCCTCTCACATATTTATACATGGCTATCATATCTCCTCTCAGCCTTCTCTTCTTCAGGCTAAACATGCCCAGCTCCTTAAGTCGCTCCTCATAGGGCTTGTTCTCCAGACCTTTGATCATTTTAGTCGCCCTCCTCTGGACACATTCCAAGGGAGTTGGGCCCCATGGGGGGGGGGGGGTGTCATGAAGTGATTTCAGAGGGGTCACCAAAGACCACCAGAAAACATATCTTTCTGATGGTCTTAGGTGCCCCTTTGGCATAGAAGGCTGAAGATCTCTCCTCCTGTCCTTCTCTTCCTTTTTGGAAACAGAAGGTGAATCCTCTCGCCAAAAAGCCCTCCGCTGTGATTGGCGAGCCTCTGAGCCAAGGGGAGGGCTGTTTCTGAGACTCCAAGCAGGGAGGGGAAAGCAGGCGTGCTCAGCGCATGGCAGTGTAGTGCACATGTGCGGGCGAGGGAGAGTGTGCGAGGCAGGAGGAAGGCTTCAAACTACAAGAGAGGAGATTCCATCTGAACATGAGGAAGAACTTCCTGACTGTGAGAGCCGTTCAGCAGTGGAACTCTCTGCCCCGGAGTGTGGTGGAGGCTCCTTCTTTGGAAGCTTTTAAACAGAGGCTGGATGACCATCTGCCAGGAGTGATTTGAATGCAATATTCCTGCTTCTTGGCAGGGGGTTGGACTGGATGGCCCATGAGGTCTCTTCCAACTCTTTGATTCTATGATTCTAAGACGTGGGGGTTCTGTTGTGGGTAGTTTGACCCAATTCAATTGTTGGTGGGATTCCGAATGCTCTATGATTGTAGGTGAACTATAAATCCCAGCAACTACAACTCCCACATGCCAAGGTCTATTTCCCCCAAACTCCACCAGTGTTCACATTTGGGTATATCGAGTATTCGTGCCAATTTTGGTCTAGATCTGTCATTGTTTGTGTCCAAAGTGCTCTCTGGATGTAGGTGAACTACAACTCCAAAACTCAAGGTCAATGTCCACCAAGCCTTCCAGTATTTTCTGTTGGGCATGGGAGTTCTGTGTGCCAAGTTTGGTTCAATTCCATCATTGGTGGAGTTCAGAATACTCTTTGATTGTAGGTGAATTATAAATCCCAGCAACTACTACTCCCAAATGACAACCCCCCCCCCCCCGCACAACCCCACAAGTATTCAAATGTGGGCGTATCAGTATTTGTGCCAAATTTGGTCCAGTGAATGAAAATACACCCAGCATATCAGATAGTTATATTATGATTCATAACAGTAGCAGAACTAATGGTTATGAAACACCCCTCGCGACCCCCTCCCCAGGGGTCCCGACCCCCAGGTCAAGAAACACTGCTCTAGACATCTGACAGAAACCTGAAAGCATCTGTTGAATTGTTAATGCTCTGAACCTCCTTAGTATGTTCATGGGTGGCTTGTGGAATGGTTGCTAGGTGAGCTGTAATTCTCTGTAATGACTGCTCTTGTGTGTATGTATATGTGTGTGTATTGTTATATACGTATAAATACTTGTATACAAACACATGCACACACACATATATGCACAGATATACACACACTCACACATACACACACACATGCATACAAGTTGAGTTTCCCTTATCCAAAATGCTTTGGACCAGAAGCTTTTTGGATTTTTCTCGGATTTTGGAATATTTATCTTTGCATATTCTATCCATAACGAGATACCATGGAGATGGGACCCAAGTCTAAATGCAAAATTCATTGATGTTTCAAACAACTTCTATGCATATCTTGAAGGACGTTTTGTGCACAATATTTTAAATACTTTTGTGCATGAAACAAAGTATGTATACATGGAGCCATCAGAAAGCAAAGATGTCACTATCTCAGCCACCCACTGGGACAATTTTTGAGTATCTACAAGGATTGAATGAAAAGTAATGCCCCCACCTTCGTAACTCCTCAACAGATGGCAGTACTGGTATGCTGCAGGTACTGGCTTGTTCAGTAGACTCTCCTCTACACTTCCATTTTGGCGGGAAGCCTTAGCACTGAGCAGTTGTGTTGTTAAAGTGCGAAGTGTGGAACCCTGCGCAGATGGTCGGTCAATGCGACATAAGCAACGTGCATTCACTGAATTCTTGACAGCAGAAGGTGTCACCCCAAAGGAGATTCATCAGAGAAAGCAAACTCTTTATTATGGTGATTGTGTTGATGTGAGTAATGTGCATCGTTGGGCGAGTAAGTTTAAAGATGTTGAGGTGGGAACATCTGACTTGCATGACAAACAAAGAGTTGGTCGTCCTGTGACAGCAACCACCGAGTATCACAAGCAAAAGGTTGACAGATTGATACAGGAGGATCGTTGTATCACTCAGAGAGAAATTCCAAGCATAATCAGCATTTCACAAGAACGTGTGGATCACATTATTGCTTTGCTTGGCTATTGGAAGATCTGTGCATGATGGGTTGCAGAAACAGAGTGTCGCCTTCTTCTGTGACAGCTTCAGAAAACTTGTTCATAATTGGCAGAAATGTATCCAATTGTCTGGTGATTATGTGCAAAAGGTTGACAAATTGGCTCAGGACGATTGTCCTATCACTCAGAGAGAAATTTCAAGCATAATCGGCACTTCACAAGAATGTGTGGGTCACATTATTGCTTTGCTTGGCTATCGGAAGATCTGTGCATGATGGGTACCCAGGATGTTGATGCCTGAAATGAAAGCTCACAGACGTGAAACTTCAGAGACTGAATCTCACCACCGTATGACATCTTCCATACAGTCCAGATCTAGCACCATCTGACTTCCATCTGTTCCTGATAATGAAAGAAGATCTGCGGGGACATCATTATGCTTCTGATGAAGATATTGAGAGAACTGTGAGACGCTGGTTGCAGAAACAGAGTGTCAACTTCTTCTGTGACGACTTCAGAAAACTTGTTCATCATTGGCAGAAATGTATCTAATTGTCTGTTGATTATGTGGAAAAGTGAATAGTGGTACTTAAAGAGCACATTCTAAGGATTATTTCTGCATATGATTTATTAAAATATTCCCATCCAATCCCAAGTAATGAAGGTGGAGGCATTACTTTTCATTCAACCCTCGTAGGAATTCTAGATAAGGGATGTTCAACCTGTATATGTGTGTAAATAAATCGTACATCACAGAAACACAGCATGTCTCCAGTGACCTGATTCTAAAGCCGTTGTTCCTAAACTTTGGTCTCCCAGACGTCCATAATTTCTGACTGTTATCCAAGTTGATTGGGAATTCTGGGAGTTGAAGTCCAAACACTTGGAGGGCTAAAGTTTGGGAAGTACTGTTTTGAGGAAAATGGTTGGAGCTCTTTAAAATTCTCATAACATGAAAGTGGGGAGAAAGCATGTATATTACCCAGCATAGGAGCTTGTATGGGGCGAACCATTAAAACTGAGACTGAAAGCAAACGGGATCCTAAACAACCAGACCAGTGGATTGTTTTTGCCATTGTAGATCACTGAGCCCAGAGCAGTGGGACCAGTGCAGCCAATACAACAAGGAGCGAGGAGAGGCGGAAGCAAGAGCATCTTATGAATTGCGAGAAGCCATAGCACTGACCATTGCCCAGGTAAATGACTTTGGTTCCTGCTGGATTATTGGGGGCCATTTAGTTACTATATATACTCAAGTATAAGCCAACCCAAATATAAGCCGAGGCACCTAATTTTACCGCAAAAAAACTGGGACAACGTATTGACTCGAGTATAAGCTGAGGGTGGGAAATGCAGCAGCTACTGGTAAATCTTTTTTAAATAGATACCAATAACTTTACATTAATTGAGGCATTCGTAGGTTCAATGTTTTTGAATCTATATAAATAAAAATGTAATGTTCGTTTGTGGGACTAACATAACTGAAAAACCACTGGGCGAATTGACACCAAATTTGGACACAATGCACCTATCAGGCCAAGGAGTGGCCATCACTCATAAAAACCTGAAAAACACAGTGGAAGAGACCTAAAAAGCAAAAAAACAAAAACAAAACCCAAACCATTACATATATACACATATACACAAATATATATACACACAAAACACATATAGGCAGACTGGGCCACAGCAACACGTGGCAGGGGACAGCTAGTATTTACATAAAACTGTAATTGAAGATAAGACTCCAACTCTGATTAAACTGTTATTCTAACCTTCTTCAATGTAAATGTGCTTACGTATTCTTCCAATAATAATAATGGAGTAAAAATAATGTAAATGTAATAATAATAATATATAGAGTAAATTAATAAATTTAACAATAATAAATAGAGTAAAATATCAAATGTAATAATAATAAATAGAGTAAAATAATTAATGTAATAATAATAGAGGGTTTTTTGTCATGTCAGGAGCGACTTGAGAAACTGCAAGTCACTTCTGGTGTGAGAGAATTGGCCGTCTCCAAGGACGTTGCCCAGGGGACGCCTGGATGTTTTATCATCCTTGTGGGAGGCGTCTCTCGTGTCCCCGCTTGGGGAGCTGGAGCTGATAGAGGGAGCTCATCCACTCTCTCCCTGGATTCGAACCTGCGACCTGTCTGTCTTCAGCCCTGCCGGCACAGAGGTTATAGAGTAAAATAATGTAAATATAATAGAGTATATAATATAATAGAGTAAAATAATGTAAATATAATAATAACAATAATAGAGTAAAATAATAAATATAATAATATAAATAGAGTAAAACAATAGAGTTCAACAATAAAAATATGTTTTATAAATAATAATAAATAGAGTAAAATAATAGCGTAAAATATTAAATGTGATAATAATAATAATAATAATAATAATAATAGAGTAAAATAATGTAAATGTAATGTAATAAATTACATTTACATTATTTTACTCTATTATTATTATTATTATGTAATGTAATAAATAGGGAGCTCCGGTGGCACAGTGGGTTAAAGCACTGAGCTGATGAGCTTGTTGATCGAAAGGTCGCAGGTTCGATTCCGGGGAGCAGCGTGAGCTTCCGCTGTCAGCCCTAGCTTCTGCCAACCTAGCAGTTCGAAAACATGCAAATGTGAGTAGATCAATAGGTACCGCTCCGGCTGGAAAGTAATGGCGCTTCATGCAGTCATGCCGGTCACATGACCTTGGTGGTGTCTACGGACAACGCTGGCTCTTCGGCTTAGAAATGGAGATGAGCAGCACACCCCAGAGTCAGACATGACTGGACTTAATGTCAGGGGACTACCTTTACCTTTACCTTAATGTAATAAATAGAGTAAAATAATAAATGTACTAAAATAATAATTACAGAGTAAAATAATAACTTTGACTCGAGTATAAACTGAGGGAGGCTTTTTCAGCCTTACGAAAAGGCTGAAAAGTTCAGCTTATACTCGAGTATATACGGTAATCTCGTTATTTCATGTACAATATAATTTCCATATCAGTGGGACAGTAACTGCAATTTTATTTACCAACTTCTGACAAAACATGACCTCTCAAGGCATTTTAAAGATCCTCCAGGTGAATCTAGATGTTCCTTCCTTCTTTCTTCAGCTGCTGAGTTAACTTTCCCCAGCGGTAGAAAAATCCTGGGATTCTTTACCCTAACCCTGACCTGCTCTTTCTAAAAATAGCAGCTCAGGGTTAGGATAAAGAATCCCAGGATTTTTCTATATAATTTCACAAGTTGACTGTTTGTGTTTATAACTTCAACAAGCTGTGCCAAGTCTGTCAAGAACTTTGAGAAATAAATGTTCTGTTTGATGTTCAAATCTGGAATGGCCTCAGTTGCTGAGAATCCTAAGCTTCTAAGTAAGGCACCCGCAGTTCACCCGGATAAAGAGAGAAGCACATCTTAGTTTTAACTTTATAGTGTCTGGGTGTGATGGCACATGTAGCCTTCCTCAAACCATGTTCATCTCCCACAGTTTGGTCTTTGGCTTCCAAGATTTTGAGACACTGAGTGTTTTCAAGGACATGCTGGGTGCCTATCTGTCGGGAGGGCTTTGATTGTGTCTTTCTGCCTGGTAGAAGGGGGCTGGACTGAATGACCCTTGAGGTTTCTTTCAATTCTAGACTCCCATGATTGTATATATATATTTTTCCTTCTAGACTGACAACGAACTGGAAGCTCAGCGTGTGGCCACCGAGTTTGCCTTCCGGAAGCGGATCCATGAGTTGGAGAGAGCCCTGGATGAGTTGAGATGGGGAGAAAAAAATGTAAGTTTTGATGGGACTGGAGACTGAAATTTGCAAAAAGATATGAATGAACAATTTGCCCAAGTAGAATTAGTCCAGAGCCAAGACCCCTTCTCTCTCTGATGTGTGTATTATGTCAGAAATATTAAGAAATAAGTAGGTATTTTCAATTGCAAAAATGTGAGTCAAGCACTGAAAAGGTCAAATGGATGCCAAGCCTCAGCAAAAGCTGAGTGTGTGCCTGTAGTTTAGTAGTCTCAGTCTGTGAGAGGTCTCTGTGGAAGAAGTGCCTCAGTGTGTTAATAGGCCTCAGTGGGAGAAAGGCCTCAGTGTGAGAAGGCCTCAGTGGGAGAAAGGCCTCAGTGTGAGATAGACCTCAGTATATTAGTAGGCCTCAGTGTGCGAAGGCCTGGTGTGAGAAGCTTTGGTGAGAGGAACCCCCAGGTTGAAGGACATCGTGTGTGAAGCTTCAGTGTGAAGGCTGCTGTGTAAAAAGCTCCTGTGTAACTTTGGTGTGAGAGGATGCTCTGTGAGAGTGAAGCTGATTATCTGCATGAGAAAGAAGCCCAGCATGGAAGCAAAGAAGGAAGTATAAAGAACTTTGTTATGGAAACCTTGTTCATGTATTGTCGAAGACTTTCATGGCCGGAATCACTGGGTTGTTGTAGGTTTTTCTGGGCTATATGGCCATGTTCTGGAGGCATTTTCTCCTGACGTTTCACCTGCATCTATGGCAAGCATCCTCAGAGGTAGTGAGGTGGGGGATCCTCACTTCCTCTGAGGATGCTTGCCATAGATGCAGGCGAAACGTCAGGAGAAAATGCCTCCAGAACATGGCCATATAGCCCGGAAAAACCTACAACAACCCACTTGTTCATGTAAATAGTGCATCACAGTGTGTGTGAGGGAGGCAGAAGCTGTGTTTTCTCAGAAGCTCCTCGATTTGAGGTGGGGGAGCTTGACCTTCAGCTAACAGTGAGGGGAGATAGGAGCAAATCACGCTGCTGCGGATAAGTTACTCTGCTGTACGTTTATGAGGAAGGTTTTTTATTAATAAGCTCACAGTCACCTCTTCTTCCTATGTCTCTTTGTCGTCGTCCCCCAGACCATGGAAGAAATTGCTGAGATGGAGGAGGACATTAGACGCCTCGAGGAGGATCTCCGGATCAAAGTGTGGAATCTGAAACTGGCTCACACTCGCCTGGAGACCCGGACTTACCGCCCAAACCTGGAGCTTTGCCGTGACCAGGTACAACAATCCCCCACTTCTTTAAGCTTACAAGTGGGGCAGGTATATCGGAAGTGCTGAACATCGACTCTGATACTCCCTTCTTCCCAGATAAACCAGAATGTTATTCTTCCCTGCTATCCTTTGGGAATGTATTTATTTCTTCTCTCCTCTGTTTCTGCTCTCATTCTGATTAGTTGTTTAAAATGGATACTTTTCTGCTCCTTTTTAAATATGACTTCTGCCTTCTTACACTTTTAGTATGGAGCATATGTGCTGTGTGCTTTGAGATCTCTCTCTACGTGTGTGTTAGAGAGATGTAGTGGTTGATGATTGGCAGCCAGGATGCTAACAGGAGCGGCACTCAGGGAGCATACAACTCCTCTGTTGCGCCAGCTCCACTGGCTGCCAATTTGCTACCGGGCACAATTCAAAGTGCTGACTTTAGCCTTTAAAGCCCTAAACGGTTCTGGCCCGACCTATCTGTCCGAACGCATCTCCTCCTATGAACCAGTTAGGACGTTAAGATCGTCTGGGGAGGCCCTGCTCTCGATCCCGCCGGCTTCACAAGCACGCCTGGCGAGGATGAGAGACAGGGCCTTCTCAGTAGTGGCCCTCCGGCTGTGGAACGCCCTTCCTACAGACATTAGATCGCCCCCCTCCTTATTGGCATTCAGGAAGAGAGTTAAGACCTGGCTCTTCGAACAGGCTTTCAACTAAGCAGTGCAATTGATCGATTACTGGAATATGGATTAATGGACAACGAGATCTGATGCTGATTCTATTGATGAGACGTGATGGATTGTTGTTTTCCTGTATTGTTGTATTGATGTTCTGATGTCAATTAATTGATATTACTGTTTTAAATGATTAATGATTTTGTACTGTGTTGTTGATACTGGTTGTTAACTGCTCTGAGTCACCTGATGGCTGAGAAGAGCGGTATACAAGTGAAGTAAGTAAGTAAATAAATAAATAATGATTTTCCCCTCTCTTTGAAACCTTAGAAGAGATGGGTGTTAGAGTAGCTCAGACCCAGTTCTTGATGATTAAGAAATGCAGTTATTTCTTTATGATCAGTTGTCCCGTCCCCCCTCCAACCCCACCAGTATTCAAATTTGGGCGTATTGGGTATTTGTGCCAAATTTGGTTCAGTGAATGAAGATACATCCTGCATATCAGATATTTACATTACAATTCATATTAGTAGAAAAATTACAGTTATGAAGTAGCAACAAAAATAATTTTATGGTTGGGGGTCACCACAACATGAGGAACTGTTGTGACTCAGGTCCCAAAGATTGCCCAACACAGCAGATTAAGGGTTAACAAAAGTCTTTAATGAGTCTTTAACAGGCTAGCAGCACTTAAACAGCAATGCTACTTAGCAAAACAAAAGGACCTTCGTGCAGGTAAACAATAACGGAGATAAACCGGATTATCCCAGGACTCAGTCTCAGGAAAAAGGAAAGCTGGAGCAAAAACAAACAGTGGCAAAAGCAGAGTCAAAACAGTCCTTGGTCGATAACGAAGACAGGCAACAAACAAAGTCCAGCAGGCAGATGACGTGGTCCAGAGACGTTCCAAAAATCAGGGGCAAGGCAAAGTCACTTATGTAGTCCAATCCGAAGTCAATGTACACGAAGACAAGATAGCTGGATTCCCAGGACCCAAATGGAGGTTAGGCAGAACAAGACACCTGATTCAATGCTTTGTCCTCTGCAAAGCTAAACATCCCAGAACCCCCATTTTATTAGCAATCGCTATCGCTAGATTGATCCTCATCACTAGCATCTGGGTCATTTCCTTCAGCTGCTGGCTCGTTACTCCGCCATTTCTGCCAGCGTTGATCCAAACCCGGATCCTGCCAAGATGTACCAGCCTGCCAAGTATCTTGGAATCCCTCAAACTCGTCACTAGACGTGGGCTTTGTACATATGTCCTGAATTTCCCTAACCCGAGTCCAGTCCAATTCCTCCTCCATTTCCTCATTACAGGCTTCCAGTTCATCTGAGCTGGAATTGTCAGCTGTATCTTTAAGCCGTTTACTCATAGTTTCTTCATCACTATCAGACTCACTGGCAAACTGCTTTACTCCCCGGTAATCCCATTCTTCCAAATCCTCGGGTCCAAACCCTGCAAAATCTTCCGTGTCGCTAGGTGCCAAAATAATATCTCGAATACGCTTCAGCTGACGCTGATCCAGCTCTGACTCAGCATCACTCCTCCTTCTCCTACAACCGGTAGTAGTTTCACTGCCAAGACACTAAGCCTCAACAGGAACTGTATTAAGGGGTCGTGGTGTTAGGAAGGTTGAGAAACGCTGGTAACCCATTGTGCCACCAAAAAATATGCATCCACCTCCACTGAGGTCTGATGCAAACTGAATGCAAAAATGGAGTCCTGAGTCTGAATCACATGTCCATAACCCCTCCCACACCAAAGAGGTTGGTCAAACTGGCAAATCAGCATACACATAGAATACAGGTTAGCAAATATATACATTAACAAATAAATAGTGAAAGGTTTGGAAGGCTGCTATTTCCAACATTTCATCATGCGTGGGATGCTAGAGGTCAAATCCCTATAGGGCTGGGGTGCTTTGCAGTTCTTGGTACCCTTTGTAGGAACCAAGCTTGCACAGTTATTGTAATGTTTTTATTAATGTGATTATTTTATATGCTTTTAATTAATTAATTAATATGCTAAGTCAGGGTTAATCCTTTTTCACTGAAAACTCGAGCATTTGCTGATTTGTTTTTAGATTGTATGATACGTGTTTTATCTTATTTCTTTTGAAAACCGCTTTGGGAGAATGGCCGCCTATAAATTAATTGAACCCATTCAAAATAACGTAATTGTGTCCCATAGTGACGCTCTCCTGCTTTTGACTTCCAGGCTCAGCACGGATTGACAGATGAGGTTCATCAGCTGGAAGGCACCATTGCTGCCCTTAGACAGAAGCTGGCACAGGCTCAGTATGTCCCTCCATGTCTCTGCACCTCTATTTTATGATGGAATTTTAAATGGAGCCTCTTTGGTTCTTTGGGCATGTCAAGAGTGCTTTTGATGCCATAGGGGCTGCCTTTGTTCTTTGTCTCAAAGCTGGAGAACCTTTCGTCCTCTGGCAGGAATAGCCTGCAACTCTCTTTGAATGTGTATTTCTTCATGGCTGGACTGGATGGCCTTTGGGATCTCTTCCAACTCGAGGATTCTATGAATCAGTGGCTGGATGGCCCTCTGTTGGGAGGGCTTTGATTGTGCATTCCTTCGTGGCAGAATGGGGCTGGGCTGGATGGCCCTTGGGGTCACTTCCTAGTATGATTCTATGAATCCTATCAGTGGTTGGATGGCCATCTGTCGGGTGGGCTTGGATTGTGCATTCCTTCATGGTAGAATGGGGCTGGACTGGATGGCCCTTGGGATCTCTTCCAACTATGATTTTATGATTCTTACCAATGACTGGGTGGACATCACTCAGGAGGGCTTTGATTGTGCATTTATGCATGGCAAAATGGGGCTGGACTGGATGGTGCTTGGAGTCTCTTCCAACTATGATTCTATGAATCTTCTCAATGCCTGGATGATTATCTCTTTGAGAGGGCTTTGATTGTGTGTTCTTTCATGGCGGAATGAGGCTGGTCTGGTTGGCACTTGGGGTCTCTTCCAACTATGATTCTATGACTAAATGGATGGCTGGTCATCTGTCATGAGGGCTTTGATTGTGTATTCCGTCATGACACAATGGGGCTGGACTGAATGACGCTTGAGGTCTCTTCCGACTATGATTCTATGAATCAGTGGCTGGATGGCCCTCTCTTGGGAGGGATTGGATTGTGTATTCCTTCATGGCAGAATGGGGCTGGACTGAAATCTGTCTGGAGGGCTTTGATTGTGCATTTATGCATGGCAAAATGGGGCTGGACTGGATGGTGCTTGGAGTCTCTTCCAACTATGATTCTATGAATCTTCTCAATGCCTGATCATCTCTTTGAGAGGGCTTTGATTGTGTGTTCTTTCATGGCAGAATGAGCCTGGTCTGGTTGGCACTTGGGGTCTCTTCCAACTATGATTCTATGACTAAATGGATGGCTGGTCATCTGTCATGAGGGCTTTGATTGTGTATTCCGTCATGACACAATGGGGCTGGACTGAATGACGCTTGAGGTCTCTTCCGACTATGATTCTATGAATCAGTGGCTGGATGGCCCTCTCTTGGGAGGGATTGGATTGTGTATTCCTTCATGGCAGAATGGGGCTGGACTGAAATCTGTCGGGAGGGCTTTGATTGTGCATTTATGCATGGCAAAATGGGGCTGGACTTGATGGCCCTTGGAGTCTCTTCCAACTATGATTCTAGGAATCTTCTCAATGGCTGGATGATCATCTGTCGAGAAGCTTTGATTGTGTATTCCTTCATGGCAGAATGAGGCTGGTCTGGATGGCACTTGGGGTCTCTTCCAACTATGATTCTATGACTAAATGGATGGCTGGTCATCTGTCATGAGGGCTTTGATTGTGTATTCCGTCATGACACAATGGGGCTGGACTGAATGACCCTTGAGGTCTCTTCCAAGTATGATTCTATGAATCAGTGGCTGGATGGCCCTCTCTTGGGAGGGATTGTATTGTGTATTCCTTCATGGCAGAATGGGGCTGGACTGAAATCTGTCGGGAGGGCTTTGATTGTGCTTTGACTGGGGCTGGACTAAATGACCCTTGAGATCTCTTCCAACTATGATTCTATGAATCAGTGGCTGGATGGCCCTCTCTTGGGAGGGATTGGATTGTGTATTCCTTCATGGCAGAATGGGGCTGGACTGAAATCTGTCGGGAGGGCTTTGATTGTGCATTTCTTCATGGCAAAATGGGGCTGGACTAGATGGCCCTTGGAGTCTCTTTCAACTATGATTCTATGAATCTTATCAATGGCTGGATGGATGATCATCTGTCGAGAGGGCTTTAATTGTGTATTCCTTCATGAGGAGGAATACTGGTCTGGATGGCTCTTGGGGTCTCTTCCAGTACTTGGATTCTCTTAATCAGTGGCTGGACGGCCATCTGTTGGGAGGCATTGGATTGTGTATTCCTTCATGGTAAAATGCGGCTGGACTATATGGCCCTTGGAGTCTCTTCCAACTATGATTCTATGAATCTTATCAATAGCTGGATGGATGATCATCTGTTGAGAGGGCTTTAATTGTGTATGCCTTCATGAGGAGGAATACTGGTCTGGATGGCTTTTGGGGTCTCTTCCAGTGCTTGGATTCTATTAATCAGTGGCTGGACGGCCATCTGTTGGGAGGGATTGGATTGTGTATTCCTTCATGGTAAAATGGGGCTGGACTAGATGGCCCTTGGAGTCTCTTCCAACTACGATTCTATTAATCTTATCAATGGCTGGATGGATGATCATCTGTCGAGAGGGCTTTAATTGTGTATTCCTTCATGAGGAGGAATACTGGTCTGCATGGCTCTTGGGGTCTCTTCCAGTACTTGGATTCTATGAATCAGTGGCTGGATGGCCATCTGTCGGGAGGGCTTGGATTGTGTATTTTTGAATAGCAGAACGGGGCTGGACTGGATGACCCATGGGGCCTTTGCCAACTCTATGTTTCTGAGATGGTCTATCCTTGGCTTTCCACAGGGACGCTCTCGACGCTCTCCAGAAGCAGCTCTACCGCATTCAGGCGGACATTGTGGTCAAGGCCAACTCCCTGCTGCTGGACAACAAATGCCTGGACACGAGGCGCAAGCTGACGGTCCCTGGAGAGAAGTTTGTGCCCGAAGTGGACACTTTCAACCGCACCACCAACCGCATCCTCTCACCCCTCAAGAGCCGCCAGTTGGAGCTGGCTTAATACAAGGGCTCCTGCTCCCTATTCCTTGCTCCCTTGAGTTTGGGAAGTTTGCACCCCAGTCCCTTGCAGCGACTCCTTGTCGTGGCAAGTACAGCTGGGATTTCAGTTGCACCCAAATGACATAAATTTCTCTTTCTCTCCCCCCTGACCCCTATGGCTTTGGAAATTTAAGAAAAAGTGATAATTAATAAACAAATCCCATTACCAAAATGTGTCTGATCCTTACAACTCATTCAACCCTTTGCAATGTGGTTTGCAGGCAATCCAAAGGAATGCTTCTCTCCTCCCGACATAAGACTACAGTAGACTCTCAGTTAACCGGCACCCCTGGGGATTGGTAGATGCTGGATAAGGGTAGTTGCTTGAGAGTTACTATTAAGGACTACTATCAAAATAAAAAAAATGTCAAAGTCTATTTTCCCCAACATCCATCTGTGTTCATATTTGGGCATATGCAATATTCATGCCAAGTTTGGTCCAGATCCATCATTGTTTGACCCCATGGTAGTCTGTGGATGTAGGTGAACTATAAATCCCAAACTCAAGGTCAATGCTCACCAAACCCTTCTAGTGTTTTCGGTTGGTCATGGGAGTCCTGTATGCCCCGGTTGGTTCAATTCTATCATGCTATTTGATTGTAGGTGAACTATAAATCCCAGAAACTACAACTCCCAAAAGACAAAATCAATTTTTTGAGTGAAGGACATACATTGGCTTGTTAGGTGTATGCTGTCCAAATTTGGAGTCAGCTCCCCCAGTGGTTTTTGAGTTCTGTTAATCCCACAAATGAACATTACATTTTTATTTATATAGACTAGCCGTCCCCTGCCATGCGTTGCTGTGGCCCACTCTGGTGGCCATGGGGGTTGTGTGTGGCAGGTTTGGCCCAATTCTATCGTTGGTGGGGTTCGGAATGCTCTGTGATTGTAGGTGAACTACAAATCCCAGCAACTGCAACTCCCAAATGTCAAGATTCTATTTTCCCCAAACTCCACCAGTGTTCACATTTGGGCATATTGAATATTTGTGTAGAGTTTGGTCCAGATCCATCATTAAGTGCACAGTGCTCTCAGGATGTAGGTGAACTACAACTCCAAAACCAAAGGACACTGCCCACCAAACCCTTCTAGTATTTTCTGTTGATCATGGGAGAACTGTGTGCCACGTTTGGTTCAATTCCATCATTGGTGGGGTTCAGAATGCTCTTTGCTTGTAGATGAACTATAAATCCCAGCAACTACAACTCCCAAATGAGAAAATCAATTTTTTGAGTGAAGGACATACATTGAGTTGTTAAGTGTCTTGTGTCCAAATTTGGTGTCAATTACCCCCGTGATTTTTGAGTTCTGTTAAGTCCACAAACGAACATTACATTTTTATTTATATAGATTATAGATGTACCCAAGGTAGTAAAGGTAAAGGTTTTCCCCTGACATTAAGTCCAGTTGCGTCTGACTCTGGGGGTTGGTGCTCATCTCCATTTCTTCAGGCCTTGGCTGGTAGGTCTACTCGATACCCAGATGCATTTGGAGTCGGTAGTAGGTCCCACACCGATGAGGCATAGATAGAAAGCAGCCTGGGAGAGGTTAAAAAGGGCTTTTTTTCCTACAGAGAAAGTTTAGTTAATTAAAGTCAGGTACCAGTCCATTGAGGACTAGACTAAGAAAGCCTTGAAGTGTTGTTTGAACCATTGAAGATTTATTGTTTGTTCCATAATAAAGACTTTGTTGCATCATTAAAGACTTTAAAGACCATCACTTCAGAAAAATCCCTGAGAACCTCTCTTTGAGGCCCCCTTGCTTCCCGCTGGGCTTAAAGTATACGTTCTATAGAAAAGTACAGCTGTTACAAGCCCAGCGCGCAACAGAACAAATGGCTTCAAACTACAAGAAAGGAGATTCCATCCAAACATTAGGAAGAACTTCCTGACTGTGAGAGCCGTTCAGCAGTGGAACTCTCTGCCCCGGAGTGTGGTGGAGGCTCCTTCTTTGGAGGCTTTTAAACAGAGGCTGGATGGCCATCTGTCGGGGATGCTGCATGGCCATCTGTTGGGGATGCCATTTTCCTGCTTCTTGGCAGGGTTTGGGACTGGATGACCCTTGAGGTCTCTTCCAACTCTATGATTCTATTATTCACAGGTGTTGTAGTTGTTGTAGTTTTACAAGATATTTAGGCTTTCCTGTCAAATAGACCTAATTTCTCACCAATCTACAACTCCCAGGATTCCCACAGACATGTGCCTTTCACCTTAAGAACAGACAAGCATCCCGAGCTCTGAGGATTACCTGGGAAGGAATCCCACTGGAGCATTGCAGCACACCCAAATACCTGGGAGTCACTCTGGACCGTGCTCTGACCTACAAGAAGCACTGCCTGAACATCAAGCAAAAAGTGGGTGCTAGAAACAATATCATACGAAAGCTGACTGGCACAACCTGGGGATCACAACCAGACACAGTGAAGACATCTGCCCTTGCGCTGTGCTACTCTGCTGCCGAGTACGCATGCCTAGTGTGGAACACATCTCACCACACTAAAACAGTAGATGTGGCTCTTAATGAGACATGTCGCATTATCACGGGGTGTCTGCGCCCTACACCACTGGAGAAATTACACTGCTTAGCTGGTATTGCACCACCTGACATCCGCCGGGAAGTAGCAGCCAATAGTGAAAGGACCAAGGCAGAGACATCTCCAGCTCATCCCCGGTCTGGGTATCATCCAGCACGTCAACGACTTAAATCAAGACATAGTTTTCTAAGATCTACAGAGACACTCGCTGGAACACTCAGCAAGCGAGAGTCCAAAAGTGGCAGGCTCAAACCCAGAACCTCAACCAATGGCAGATACCAAATGAGAGACTCCCCCCTGGGCACACAGAAGACTGGGCGACTTGGAAGGCACTGAACAGACTGCGCTCTGGCACCACAAGATGCAGAGCCAACCTTCAGAAATGGGGCTACAAAGTGGAATGTGGAGAGGAGCAAACCACTGACCACCTGTTGCAATGCAACCTGAGCCCTGCCACATGCACAATGGAGGACCTTCTTGCGGCAACACCAGAAGCACTCCAAGTGGCCAGCTACTGGTCAAAGGACATTTAATCAACTACCAAACTCACAAATTTTGTCTGTTTGTTTGCTTTGTTCTGTTAGAAATGTAATATAATTGACTGGTTGCCCTGACACGACAAATAAATATTCTACAGCAGTGTTTCTCAACCTGGGGGTCAGGACCCCTGGAGGGGTTGCGAGGGGGTGTCAGAGGGGTCACTAAAGACCACCAGAAAACAGTATTTTCTGTTGGTCATGGAGGTTCTGTGTGGGAAGTTTGGCCCAATTCAATTGTTGGCAGGGTTCAGAATGTTCCTTGATTGTAGGTGAACTATAAATCCCAGCAACTACAATTCCCAAATGCCAAGGTCTATTTTCCCCAAACTCCACCAGTGTTTACATTTGGGCATATTGAGAATTTGTGCCAAGTTTGGTCCAGATCCAACATTGTTTTGAGTCCACACTGCTCTCTGGATGTAAGTGAACTGCAGCTCCCAAAACTCAAGGTCAATGCCCACCAAACCCTTCCAGTATTTTCTGTTGGTTATGGCAGTTCTGTGTGCCAGGTTTGATTCAATTCCATCGTTAGTGGGGTTCAGAATGCTCTTTGTAGGTGAACTATAAATCCCAGCAATTACAACTCACACAGGACAAAATCAATATTCTCCCCCAATCCCACCAGTATTCATATTTAGGTGTAGTGGGTATTTGTGCCAAATTTGGTCCAGTGTATGAAAATACATCCTGTATAACAGATATTTACATTACTATTCATAACAGCAGCAAAATTACAGTTATGAAGTAGCAATGAAACTAATTTTATGGTTGGGGGTCACCATAACATGAGGAAGTGTATTAAGGGGTCGTGGCATTAGGAAGGTTGAGAACCCCTGATCTACAGCATGGACTTGAAGACATCCAGCCACACTGACGTCATGCCCTGCTATGGCAGGGGTCGGCCGCTAGGGGCCGCGCGTCGACGGCGCTGTCGTCACCCTTGCGCGTGCGTAGAGGAGGTGGTTTGTTTCTGCCAAGATGGCGGCGGCACGAGCGGCTTTCTCCCAGAGCCGGTTCCGGGGCTGCTTGTTAGGGGCGCTGCTGGGCGACTGCCTCGGCGGGGGCTTCGAGGCCCGTGAGTCGGTCAGCCTGACGGAGCTGCTGCAGTTCGTGGGCACCCTCCAGCCGCCCCGGCCGGCCTCCGAGGAAGGTAACGCGGGGCAATGGCGTCAAAGTGAAAGGCCTCACTTCTCCCCCTCAGCTCCACTTCCGGTTCTGCTCTCAAGGCGGAAGGAGAGCCAGCAAACCCCGTCTCCTTCCTCAGAGTTGGTTTGAAGGGCAACTTTTTAGCTTTGCTAACATAGAGATCTCTTTTTCCTTTTTCTCCCTCTTCTTTTTCTCTCACTCCCTTTACCTCATACATACGTCCCTCCTTTCCTATCATCCTTTCTCCTTTTTCTTATTTCCTTCCCTCTCTCTCTCCTTACACCTTTTCATAGAATCATAGAATCAAAGAGTTGGAAGAGACCTCATGGGCCATCCAGTCCAACCCCCTGCCCAGAAGCAGGAATATTGCATTCAAATCACCCCTGACAGATGGCCATCCAGCCTCTGTTTAAAAGCTTCCAAAGAAGGAGCCTCCACCACACTCCGGGGCAGAGAGTTCCACTGCTGAACGGCTCTCACAGTCAGGAAGTTCTTCCTCATGCTCAGATGGAATCTCCTCTTATTTAAAAAGAATCCTTGCAGATGGTCAAAGGTTTTAATGGCCGGAAATGCCTGGGTTGCTGTGAGTTGCCATTGTTCCGCGTCCTAGTCTCCAGGGAAGCAGAAAACAAGCTTGCTCCCTCCTCCGTGTGGCTTCCTCTCACATATTTATACATGGCTATCATATCCCCTCTCAGCCTTCTCTTCTTCAGGCTAAACATGCCCAGCTCCTTAAGCCGCTCCTCATAGGGCTTGTTCTCCACACCCTTAATCATTCCAGCTTGTCAATATCTCTCTTGAATTGTGGTGCCCAGAATTGGACACAATATTCCAGGTGTGGTCTAACCAAAGCGGAATACAAGGGTAGCATGACTTCCCTAGATCTAGACCAGGGCTCCTCAAACTTTTTCAACAGAGTGCCAGGTCACAGTCCCTCAAACTGTTGGAGGGCCGGATTATAATTTTAAAAAGCATGAATGAATTCCTATGCACACTGCACATATCTTATTTGTAGTGCAAAAAAACACTTAAAAACAATGCAATAATTAAGATGAAGAACAATTTAAAAAATATAAACTTATTAGTATTTCAATGGGAAGTGTGGGCCTGCTTTTGGCTGATGAGATAGGATTGTTCTTGTTCTTGTGTGCTTTACAGTCATTTCAGACTTAGGTTGACCCTGAGTGAGGGCCGGGTAAATGACCATGGAGGGCCGTATTCGGCCCTCAGGCCTTAGTTTGAGGACCCCTGATCTAGACACTATGCTCCAAAATGCAGGCCAACATCCCATTGGCTTTTTTTGCCGCCACATCACATTATTGGCTCATGTTTCACTTGTTGTCCACGAGGATGCCAAGATCTTTTTCACACGTACTGCTCCCGAGCCAGGCATTGTCCTCCATTCTGTATCTTTGCATTTTGTTTTTTCTGCCTAAGTGGAGTATCTTGCATTTGTCCCTGTTGAACTTCATTTTGTTTGTTTTGGCCCATCTCTCTAATCTGTCAAGATCATTTTGAATGCTGCTCCTGTCCTCTGGAGTATTGGCTATCCCTCCCAATTTGGTGTCGTCTGCAAACTTGATGATCCTGCCTTCTAACCCTTCATCTAAGTAGTTAATAAAGATGTTGAACAGGACCGGGCCCAGGACGGAACCCTGCGGCACTCCACTTGTCACTTCTTTCCAGGATGAAGAGGAAGCATTGGTGAGCACCTTCTGGGTTCGTCCATTTAACCAATTACAGATCCACCTCACCGTTGTTTTGCCTAGCCCACATTGGACTAGTTTCCTTGCCAGAAGGTCATGGGAGACCTTGGAGAAGGCCTTTTCTTACTCGTCTTTCCTTCCTGATCTCCATCCTTTTTCGTTTTTCTCTCTCTTCTCCCATCCTTTCTTTCCCCCTTTTCCCTTTCTTTCCTTCCTCCCTACACTTGTCACCTACTTGCAGCCTAGCCACTCCCCTTTCTCTCCCAGTGACATCATAGAGGGCCACTTCACCTCGCCACAGCCAAACTGCTTCCTTATAATAATAACTAGCCACCCCCTGCCACGCGTTGCTATGGCCCAGTCTGGTGATCTGGAAAATAAAGTAATGGTTTCTAATAGATGTAATTCCTTTATGCTTCTGGGTAAACAGTATTCCTTGTTGTTTCTTTGTCAGTGTTGATGTGGAGATTGTCTGGTTTGCCTACTCTGGAACATGCAACATATAATTGTCCTTCTTTAGGGATCCCTTTCAAATCAATGATACTATATCTGTGTGTGTGTGAGTGTGAATGAATCATATATATCAGTGTTTCTCAACCTTCCTAATGCCATGACCCCTTAATACAGCGCTTCATGTTGTGGTGACCCCCAACCATAAAATTATTATCATTGCTACTTCCTAACGGTACTTGTGTTACTGTTCTCAATCATAATGTAAATATCTGAAATGCAGGATATATTTTCATTCATTGGACCAAATTTGGCACAAATACCCAATAATTGCAGTCATGCCGGCCACATGACCTTGGAGGTGTCTATGGAGAACATCAGCTCTTCAGCCTAGAAATTGAGCACCAACCCTCAGAGTTGGACACGATTGGACTTAATGTAAGGGGAAAAATTTTACCTTACCTTACCCAATAAGCCAAATTGGTGGGGTTGGAGGTAGAATTGATTTTGTCATTTGGGAGTTGTAGTTGCTGGGATTTATAGTTCATCTATAGTCAGAGAGCATTCTGAACTCCACCAACAATGGAATTGAACCAAACTTGATGCACAGAACTCCCATGACCAAGAGAAAATTCTGGGTTTGATGGGTATTCACCTTGAGTTTGGGAGTTGTTGTTCACCTACATCCAGAGAGCACTGTGGACCCAAACAATGATGGATCTGGACCAAAGTTGGCATGGATACTCAATATGCCCAAATGTGAACACTGGTGGAGTTTGGGGGAAAATAGACATTGACATTTGAGAGTTGTAGTTGCTGAGATTTATAGTTCACTTACAATGAAAGAGCATTCTGAATCCCTTCAACGATAGAATTGGGCCAAACTTCCCACATCGAACCTCCATGACCAACAGAAAATATTGTGTTTTCTGATGGTCTTTGGCGACCCCTCTGACACCCTTCGTGACCCCCTCAGGGGTCCCCACCCACAGGTTGAGAAACACTGATATCTATCTATCTATCTATCTATCTATCTATCTATCTATCTATCTATCTATCTCTATATGGCTGAATGGCTCTTTGTCAGGAGGGCTTTGATTACGTTTTCTTGCCCTGGTGAAGGGAGTTGGACTGGATGGCCTTAAGTATGGTGGTTCTGTGTCAGAAGTTTGCCCCAATGCTGTCGTTGGTGGGTTTAGCATGCTCTTTGATTGTAGGTGATCTGTAAATCCCAGAAACCGAAACTCCCAAATGTCAGGGTCTATTTCCCCCAAACTCCACCAGTATTGACATTTGGGCAAATTGAGGATTCGTGGGAAGTTTCATTGTTCCATCATTGTTTGAGTCCAAAGTGCTCTCTGGATGAAGATGAACTACAACTCCCAAACTCAAGGCCAATGCCCACCAAACCCTTTTAGTGTTTTCTGTTGGTTATGGGAGTTCTGTGTGCCAAATTTGGTTCAATTCCATCATTGGTGCAGTTCAGAATGCTCTTTGATTGTAGATGTACTATAAATCCCAGCAACTACAACTCCCAAATGAAAAAAATCAATTTTTATGAGTGGAGGACATACATTGGGTTGTTAGGTGTCTTGTGTCCAAATTTGGTGTCAATTCGTCCAGTGGTTTTTGAGTTCTGTTAATCCCACAAACAAATATTACATTTTTATTTATATAGATAATAAAATAAAACTTTATATACCTCTCTATCTCCCCGAGGGGGACTCAGGGAGGTTTCCAAGTAACATCACCAAAACATACAGAGTAAACAGCATGACATAAAATTAACAAAACAACATAAGCATAAAATTATCACAATAACACACATATATTAAAAATAATCCTGCCTGTTCAGAGCAGTTAAAAGGCTAGTCCAAGGCTAGTGCAAACTCAAAAATGCAAACTCCTTCTTTTCCTTTCCCTCTGCTCTGGGTTTCCATGGTTGAGCGGAGTTTCGAACTCTCTTTTCTAGAATCATAGGCTGCTTCTATACTTGTAGAATGAATGCAGTTTGTAGTTTTGTGGAGTTAACTGAATGCAATCTGAAACCTCATCAGAAGTTTTTGGAGATCTCATGGTAGTTGTAGCTTTACAAGGTCTTTAAGCCTTCTCGACCCAATAGTATTGGTGCCTCACTAAACTCCTAGGATTCCATAGCATTGAGCCATGGCACTTTAAGTATGACCAAAGGGCGTTACATCTACAGGGTAGGTAAATGCACCCGTAGTCCAACTCCCAAGTGGGTGTGCTTACATTCATTCAGATCCAAAGTTGCTAACCCACATGCAGACTTTTGAGATGTCCAGGTTGCTTCATCAGGAAAATGTTTTATTTATTTATTTATTTAATAATAATAATAATAATAATAATAATAGCTTTATACCCCGTTACCATCTCCCCAAGGGACTTGCTGCAGCTTACTCCACTCTTATATACTCCACTCTTCAATCATAAAGGCTTTCAGAGCAGTTCAAACATCGTTAATTTGCTCTCAGACTTATTCTAAATAAGATGCAACTGAGAAGGAAAAGGTAATGGCAGTAAGGAAATAAATTCGGTCCCATATACACATTTACTTCGTTTCTGACTCTGAAGCCTGAACAGTGGCAGTTAGGATGGAGTCCCCAAGTATTTTGGCCTACAACTTCCAGAAATGCCAGCCAGTTTACCAGCTGTTAGGATTTCTGGGAGTTGAAGGCCAACCTATGGGGACCCATAGGTCTTTCATCTGCTTAAGAAGCCTTGAGATGATCTCCCTTCCAAATGTGTCACAGAGCAAATTCAGTCTAAATGTTCCCTAGAAGGCCAGATGACTGAACTGAGGCTGTTGGATAGACTCAATCAAGGGAGCCATGGCCCTGAGTGTAGGACCTGAGCTAGGAAGTTGTAGACTTTGAGATGATCTGTTCTATGGAATTAATAAAGTTTGGCACTATTTTAACTAGTATGTCTCAATGCTCAATGGTTCCAGCCCAGTTTACCTTTCTGAATGTATCTCTCCCTATGAACCATTTATGAGTTTAAAAACATCTGAGGAGGCCCTACTCTCGGTCCTGCCTTCTTTGCAGGCGCAACTGGCGGGGATGAGAGACAGGGCCTTCTCAGTGGAGGCCACTCTGCTGTGGAACTTCCTCCCTAGGGATATTAGATCAGCCCCTTCCCTCCTGACCTTCCGCAGAAAAGTGAAAACATGGCTTTTTGAACAAGCCTTTGGAAACCTAGTGCAATTGATAAACACGAAACTATGTGAAGTTGAATACAGGAACGGCTTAGACCAGTGTTTCTCAACCTATGGGTCTCCAGGTGTTTTGGCCTACAACTCCCAGAAATCCCAGCCAGTTTACCAGCTGTGAGGATTTCTGGGAGTTGAAGGCCAACCTATGGGGACCCATAGGTTGAGAATCACTGGCTTAGGCGATGTTTTTGGATGATAAGGCTAATAGTGAAGGTAGTGGTTTTTGGCAGACAAAGCTACAGACTTTGTAAAACTACAGCTCTCAAGATTCCATAGCATTGAGCCATGGGGGGTAAATTGGTGTTAAAATGCATTGGTTCTACAATGTAGAATGATGTGCCCTTTTGAGGTTTCTTATTCATAAGGTTGCCTTAACTCAAAGCTGACTTGGCAGTTAACAATGAAAATGTACCTCTTTTTGTGTTGTCTTGTTCTCTTTTGTCTGCACCACTGACTTGAATGTTGCACTGGTACATTTCTCCCTTCCCAGTAAGGTGTGTTCTGCTAAGGAACTGTGACAAATCTCTTTTTGTGAGATGTGTGCTTTGCTGCCATTGTGCCATCACTTCCTTTGAATTCTTAAGGCATGTAGGCATCTGTTTCATCATCAGAAATTGGCATGTTTATCCATGTTTAACTTCTGTAAATTATTCCATGGTTTTTTGTTATCAGCAACTGTGCAGTGTTGTGCTTTAGGTCTCCGAAAACGTGTAACTGTTTCTGTCTGTTGTTGAGTAGTCATGGCTCAGTATTGTCAGTCCTGTTACAAACAGTCATGATATTGCTTCAGTTGTAGTTGTAGAGACATTAACTCTTAAAGCATATAGAGCAGTAGTGTTTGGTGTTCCATATCTAGGACCCACATTTACTCCCAAACTTATTGGGATACTATTCAGATGTTTTTTTAAAAACTGCAGATGGCTTAGCAAAGCAAGAAAGGGTCTTCACTTTTTAAATAATTGTATGTGGCATAATTGTTCCAGGTGCCGTTTGTGATGTAAGCTAGGGATGCCCCTACACAATGTCTCTTTTATACCAACAGTCCTTTGCTTCTTGATCTTTTCTAAAATAAAATTGAAACAATGTATTGTCGAAGGCTTTCATGGCTGGAATCAATAGGTTCTTGTGGGTTTTTTCGGGCTATATGGCCATGTTCTAGAGGCATTTTCTCCTGATGTTTCGCCTGCATCTATGGCAAGCATCTATGCTTGCCATAGATGCAGGCGAAACATCAGGAGAAAATGCCTCTAGAACATGGCCATATAGCCCGAAAAAACCCACAAGAACCTATAAAATTGAAACAGCTCAACAAAACAAATTGCAGTGTCCCTGCTGTAGTCCATCTTAGGTTGGAGATGTGTATGATCTGTCCTCAGTCATAGACAGGTAAATAAGTAGGAGCTACCTTCCACATAGAGGAATACACAAAAAGGTATTGAGGTTTGAGTGGAAATAATTAGCTTCTTGATGCTTGATTCCTAGAAGTCCTCATCTATAGTGATGACACAGCCATGACCCACTGTGTGGTGAAGTCACTACTGGCCAAGCGGGACTTTGATGAAGTGGATATGGCAAAGCGGTAAGGAGACATCTGTCATTTCAGCATGTGATCTTGGCAAGAAACATTGAGAAAACTCCCCTTCTGGGTCATTTTTTTTTATTCAGTGCAGATCATACTGGGCTAGATTAACTGATGACTTTGAATTTTTATGACACTGCACTTAACTCAACCTTTCCCATTTTTTCCATCAATGAGATATGACCCAGGAACTATTTGTGTGGATCAAGTGGTGTTCCAGTGCACCTTTTCTCCACCTCAAAGAACAAGCCATCTCACACTTTGTGTAAGCAAATAGAGGTGAAGGTTCCTAGACTCATCAGTCACAGAGTTTCTTCCACATTTCCGTCTATGTATTGAAGGCAGATGCTGGCAGCTATTTTGCGTGTGTTGTCAAACCACATATCCTGTGGAACGCATCAAGAGTGACTTGAATAGGATTCACACTGAATGTCACCTTAGAAGTATTTGCCATGGTGGTCCATGCTCTGGTTGCATCCCAAACAGATTACTGCAACGTGCTCTACGTGGGGTTGCCTTTGAAGACTGTTCAGAAACTCCAAATGGTTCAATGGGTGGCAGCAAGATTGTGCACTGGAGCGGCGTACAGGGAGCATACAACCCCCCGTTACGCCAGCTCCATTGTCTGACAGTCTGCTACCGAGCACAATTCAAAGTGCTGGCTTTGGCCTATGAAGCCCTAAATGGTTCTGGCCCAGCTTACCTGTCCAAATGTATCTTTCCCTATGAACCATCTTGGAGATTAAGATGTCTGAGGAGGCCCTACTCTTGGTCCTGCCTCCTTTGCAGGCATGACTGGTGGGAACGAGAGACAGGACCTTCTCAGTGGTGGTCCCTCGGCTGTGGAACTCCCTCCCCAGTGATGTTAGATCAGCCCCCTCCCTCCTAACCTTGAGAAAGAGAGTAAAAACGTGGCTCTGGGTTCAAGTTTTCAGAGAAAAACCATAGTTCAATAGACTGATTGGAATTATGTGCAGTGATTACTAGAATTACCTGGATTATGACTGTGGATAGCGTGGTTTTATAGTGATTGTAATGTTTTAAAAATGTTTTAATGTATTTCAGTTTTGATCTTAATTTAATTTAAATATTTATTTTAATTGTACATTGTTGTTAAGGCATTGAATTGTTGCCTATCTGTAAGCTGCCTTGACTCTCGCTCGGGGTCGAGAAAGGCGGGATATAAATATATTAAATAAATAAATATTTGTATTAGTTTCATTAATTTCTAGATTTAAAGAATGTGATTTTCCATTACAAGGGCAAGCTAACAGGCACAACTTCAAAATCTGCTGGAAACTTAGACCCCATTTTTTTTAGCTCTTAAGCCAGGGATAGGAATCATGCAGACGTATAGCCAATAGTGTTTCTGTGTGTTCTCCAGCCTTCTTGGATCATCCATACTGCAAAATTGGTGGGTGAAAAAATACATTTTCAGCCAATTAAAAGTGCAGTTTTGGGCATGTTGTCTGGATGGCAGCCAGAGTAGTCCCCAAACACTTAAACATTCACACAATACATATACATCACTTCCAGTCTCAGCTTGCTTCTGACACAATTTAAAAAAAACCTCCAGCCTGTTTGTGCAATATTAGGAAGACCTAGAAATGTCCCTCCAGCCTTCTGCATGAATCCACCCCTACTTTAACCCTGTAGAATGTCAGTCAAATGTATTATAATTAGTTCTTGTTCTGGCAGTTTCGCTGAGGAATACAAGAGAGACCCTGACCGGGGCTATGGAGCTGGTGTGATTACAGTCTTCAAGAAACTCCTCAGCTCCAAATGCAGAGATGTATTTGAACCAGCAAGAGAGCAGTTTAATGGGAAAGGCTCCTATGGAAATGGTGGTGCAATGAGAGTGGCAGGCATCCCACTAGCTTACTCCAATATTCAAGATGTGAAGAAGGTATGCAGACTCTTTGTAGATTTCTTGCCTGTTACAGGCGGAGTATCCCTTATTAGGAATTCCAAAATCAGATACTGGTACTCCAAAATTGTCCACATGGGCGGCTGAGATAGTGAAGCCCTTACTTTCTGATACTCAAGTATATTCAAACTTGGTGTTACATACACATTGTTAACATTAAAATTACCCCTAGGCTATGTGTAAAAGGTGTTCATGAAACATAAATGGTTTTTGTGTTTTGACTGGGGTCCCATCGCAGAGATGTTTCATTGTGTACATATATGTAAATGTAGATATTTCAGAATCTGAAACAACTGAAATCCAACACTTCTAATCCCAAGCATTTCAGATGAGGGATGCTCAACCTGCATTTCTGTGAAGTGGAAAGACTTCCACAGAGTGACCAGATCTGGATGTTTATCTTGGCATAGTTGGGTTATGCATGAGTCTGTGGGGGCCACTTTCTTGGTAATCCTTTGGACCATTTTTAAGGGGCAGGAATTATTCAGCTTCCCAGGGCTCCATGTAGCCCTGGGACGCCCGTGCTATCTTTGCCCGCCCCCGCCACAATGTCACAATGCTTTGTTTTGGTGTTGTCTAAATATAACTTCAAAGAGGTGTGATTATTATCCCTAAATGTTGTCACTCTCCTCCTAGAAAATGTTTCCTATTGCCTAAATAGTAACTTCTCTCAAAAGACCATCTGTTCAGCTAACATGAATGTTTAGACGTCTCTGCATGATTGCTACTGAGATTACCGCATATACTCGAGTATAAACCGACCCAAATATAAGCCGGGGCACTTAATTTTAACAGAAAAAAACTGGGAAAACAGATTGACTCGAGTATAAGCCAAGGATGGGAAATGCGACAGATACTGGTAAATTAAAAATAAAAATAGATACCAATAAAATTATAATAATTGAGGCATCAGGAGGTTATATGTTTTTGAATATTTACATAAAACTAATTTTTACATAAAACTTGCATACCCTTCCAATAAAAATAGAGTAAAATAATAAATGTAATAATAACAACAACAATAATAAATTAAAATAATAAATGTAATAATAATAATACATTTATTACATATTTATAACAGAGTAAAATAATAAATAACCTTGACTCGAGTATAAGCCGAGAGGGACTTTTTCAGCTCTGAAAAACTAGGCTTATACTCCAGTATATACAGTATATTATATAGTTATATCAGAGTGTGTGTCTTTTTATTTAGGAACTTGCATTCTCCAGACATTATGGAGGATTGTAGTTGTTGTTGTAACCATCTGTTGTTGCGAAGTTACATTGGGATACTGCTTCCCTGTTTTACAGATGGGTGGCTGAGACTAAACGTATTGATTGTTGCACATGTTACAGAGGTCAGCAAGCACTTAAGACTGCTGGGAATTGCTGATTGTGTTATAGGTATACAGTATATATTAAATGCCTCCCATAGCGAAGCAGCAGGTTAAACTGCTGAGCTGCTGAACTTGCTGACTTTTTTTCGTGTCAGGAGCGACTTGAGAAACTGCAAGTTGCTTCTGGTGTGAGAGAATCGGCCGTCTGCAAGGACGTTGCCCAGGGGATGCCCGGATGTTTCGATGTTTTATCATCCTTGTGGGAGGCTTCTCTCATGTCCCCGCATGAGGAGCTGAAGCTGATAGAGGGAGCTCATCCGCGCTCTCCCCTGATTTGAACCTGCGACCTGTCAGTCTTCAGTCTTGCCGGCACAATGGTTTAACCCACTGCCCCACCGGGGGCTCCATAATAACTTGCTGACTGAAAGGTTGGCGGTTTGAATCCAGGGAGCAGGGTGAGCTCCCGCTGTTAGGCCCAGCTTCTGCCAACCTAACAGTTCGAAAACATGCAAATGTAAGTAGATAGGTACTGCCTTGGCGGGAAGGTAACGGTGCTCCATGCAGTCATGCTGGCCACATGATCTTGGAGATATCTACGGTCAACGCTGGCTCGACTTAGAAATGGAGATGAGTACCACCCCCCAGAGTCGGACACAACTAGACTTAATGTCAGGGGATAGCTTTACCTTTACTTATATATTGCTAGTAGTAATCCATTGCTAAGTATTTTACCTCATCTCGTTTATTTTTCCAACTCTTACCTCTGCAGTTTGCTAAGCTGAGTGCTCAGTTGACCCACTCAAACTCCTTGGGCTATAACGGAGCCATACTCCAGGCTTTGGCTGTCCACTATGCTCTCCAGGGGGGATTGAACCGGGAGGAGTTTCTGGAACAGCTGATAGGCCACATGGAGGAGGTGGAAGGTGATGACAAGTCTCTCGCTGATGCCCGATTGTGAGTAATTTCAGCCAAAGGGGAGGCCTGGATTTTCGTGTAACGCAAGGGCATAACTTCTATAACATAAGGAAGAATTTGTCTTACTCTGCTTTCTCTTTTACAGGGTGGGCTATGAGGAATTGCCCTTCTCAAAGCGCCTAAAAAAGATCAAGGAATTTTTAGAGAAGAGCAGTGTGCCAAAATCGGATGTGGTGGGAGAATTAGGTAAGCATATCCTTCAACAGAAGCAAGAGCCCTACACCCTGCAAAAGTGGAAGTTCCTATTGTAATCTCTTGTGTTGGAAGGATAGGAGGAAAGGATATGTTGTTCCCTGCTGACAAGAATTGATTCTTTTGTTAGGCAACGGCATTGCAGCTCTGCACTCTGTCCCTACTGCCATCTATTCCTTCCTGCGCTGTATGGAATCCCATCCAGATATCCCTGAGGAGTACAACAGCCTGCAACGGACCATTATCTACTGTATCTCACTAGGTGGGGACACAGACACCATTGCAACCATGGCCGGGGCAATTGCCGGAGCATATTATGGGGAAGAGCAGGTGCCCCAAAGTTGGAAGAACAACTGTGAATCTTCTGAGGAAACAGAGATGTTGGCTGACAGCTTGTATGATCTGAACTGCAGATGAGAGAATTGGAATCCAGTGTACAGGTCTTCTTTCATGTTTGAAAGAGGTAAAACTTGTCTACAAGACGGGATATTTCCTTAACAAAAACATGCCTAAGAAATGACCGTGAGAGAGAGGTCCGTATTATTAAATGCATTTAGATCAAATATTTTCCTTAATGCAAGGTGTTAACATGGTCATTGTATGCCAAAGTGTTTGGTCTGAATTTGGTTTCATGCAGGTTTGCTGTCCAGCTTTTCGCCTCATAGTGGTTACAAAGCCTCACTTTTAGACTGTACAGGAGAGGGGGAGAGGAATATTTCTATGCTTTGAAAGTAAGATGAAAATAAATTTTCAATCCAAGATATTAATGCTATCACATCCTCACTAATGTTATGGTAAGTTAATCCGAGGAAACAACAGGAATGTTACCTGCATTTGCTTGGGAGTTGCAATAGCCAAGAAGGAAAAGGTGAACTTCCTCTTTTGTGAAAGAGTAATTAGATTACTTAGGCTCCATCTATACTGCCATTATAACGTAGCCTGAACTGCATTACATGGTTAGTTTAAGTTAAGTTAAGGGTTTCCCCTTGACATTAAGTCTAATCATGTTTGACTCTGGGGATTGATACTCATCTCTGTTTCTAAGCCGAAGAGCTGGAGTTGTCTGTAGACACCTCCATGGTCATGTGGTCGGCATGACTGCATGGAGCACCATTACTTTCCCACCGAAGCTCCTTCTTTGGAGGCTTTTAAACATAGGCTGGATGGCCATCTGTCGGAGGTGCTTTGAATGTGATTTTCCTGCTTCTTGGCAGGTGGTTGGACTGGATGGCCCGCGAGGTCTCTTATAATAATAAATAAAACTTTATTTATATACCGCTCCATCTCCCCGAGGGGACTCAGAGCAGTTCCCAAGTAATATCATAAAACATACAGAGTAAAAACAACATAACCATAATATTAACAAACAATATATAAACATAAAAATTGTCGCCATAACACACATATATTAAAAGTAATCCTGCCTGTTCAAGGCGATTAAAAATTTAAAAGGCCGGGCCAAGATTTGTGCAAGCCCAAAAAATTCTAGGGGGCCCGGGAATTAAGTGCAATGCTATGGCAGGCAACAATAATATTATGTACGGGTCTGTGGCTGTTCATTCCGGGGCTGATTAGAGGAAAGAATCTGGGTAACTGGTAGGAAGAATAAGGCTGCATTAGACAATGTGTGGGGCTGAGTTAGAACTGGTCATTTTCAAAGGCTCTTCCAACTCAAGGATTCTATGAATCTAAGTCACTCAGGATGTTGAAATCAGAACAAAGGTACTTTGATCTACTCACATTTGCATGTTTTTGAACTGCTAGATTGGAAGAAGCTGGGCCTCACAGCGGGAGCTCACCCCACTCCCCGGATTTGAACCATCAACCTTTCGGTCAGTGATTTAACCTGCTGTTCCACCAGGGGCTCCATGGTTAGTATAGACTCATTTAATGCAGTTTAACTACAATTGAACTGGATTATATGACAATATAATGCACTTCAGTTTGCATTATAATAGCAGTGTAGATGGTGCTTTAGAATCTGATTTTCTCACAAGTCTTTGAAAAGAGTATGTGCTGCCTTTAATTTTTTAAAAAAATATTTCATGTTTGATTTGTATGAATCATTAAACCTGATGGTGATAAATGTAAAATAAATTTTGGTTGCTGACTGTATAAGCTAGGAGGCCAAATGGGATGCATTCTGCTGCGTTAATAGAAGGAATCAGCTTGGGAATAGTAAGAATGGCAGCGAGGAGGAATCTTACCCCTTGAAGTCACTCTGGGGATGTTGAAATCAGAACAAAGGTACTTTGAGGGATCAGGGTTCGCTCGTTCTATGAAGTGTTAGAGCAGCGCTTTCCAAACACTCTCGCAACACTTTTGTGTGTTGGCTGCAGTATGTAGGTGTGTCATGGGAACATAACAAGAAATGACAAAAATCCTGGTAATGTGTGTTTACTTACAAATCATATATTTTTTCAAAATATAAATGAAATGTTTTCATGAGATACGTTGTGTCATCATACATTTCATTATTAGAGTATATGTATGTGTCTGTATCTCTTTAAGGGGTTTGGTTTAACCTCTGATTTGCTAGTAAATCTGAAGTTCTGTGTTGCTAAATGATGCAAGTCTAAAAAGTGTGCCACCAACATGAAATGTTTGGAAAACTGTGTGTTAGAGGCTGTAAGTGCCAGTCTTGTCCTGTCTGGTCTGAATTGTTTAAAGGAGTTCTGTATTTTGTTTTCAAGAATGAAAATAACCAAATTAGAATTTGCACATGTTGGCCTAAAACTGCAGTCTTCCACTACATATCTGGTAGCATCATACAAACAGAGACCTGTCAGCGGAATTTCTATGTATTCCTTAGTCCAGACCTGCACTACTCAGCAGTAGTAAGGGACCAAAATTAAATAGGCGAAACCTCTTGGGGCCACAAATAAGTTTTTAGGACTTGACTTTCCAAGTAAGGAATAATTAATGATTAATGAGGATCGTTGTTGTGTGCCTTCAAGTTGTTTCAGACTAAGTTGACCCTACAACAGAGTTGTCTTGTCAATATTGATTTAAAGAGGCCTTTGTTTTCCTTTGAGGCTGAGATAGTGTGACTTGCCTAAAATCACCCAGCGGGTTCAGAGCCATAGTCCAAGGTTCAAACCACTACACCACGCTTTTTTGAATTCTGAAGATAATTCTTATTTGATGGTCTCTGCTGCCTTGGAATGAAATTGTCTGTGATTATTGGTGAAACTGGAAATGATTTTGATAGGAAGCAAAATCAAAAGCCCAGCAGTAGACAAGAGGAGGAAGAGGATAAGGAAAGGAGAAAATATTGTAAACGTCTTTCTCCCTTTGGAGTGAGAAAGCCTAATTCATGATACCCCTGCCCCCTTTTATTTTCCTTTCTTCTCTCCTTCACTTCATTTCCCTTCCTCCTTCTATCCTCTCTTTTCTTCCTTTTTTCTCTGCCTGTCTTCCTTTCCCCCCCTCCCTTTCTTACTTCCTCCTTTGCAGTGTGGGGAGCTGCATATTGTGCTGGCCTGCCTTAGTCTCATTGGATCACTTTGTAAATTAGTGGTTCCCAACCTTTTTTTGACCAGGGACCACTTGACCATGGACCACTCCCTAACATTAGTACCAAAAGGGTTAAAAATCAGTTTTTGGTCAACCTTAGATTCGGTGTGGGTATTTGCGATGCTGATTCAGAAAATAGCATTGGATAGAGACTACATGAGCTCTTGTTTCTGATACAGAACATATGCCATCCAGTATTTGCTATCTGCTTGCTTACAGAAAACCGTATTTAATAATCTAGAGCTGATTTGGTAGTAGTAATCTCTCATGGATGGTCAGCCTCTCCCCTCCCGACATCCCTGTCTCATCACTATAAGAGAGTTTCGCGAGACCAGTCGCTCATGTTGCCACATGGTTTTGAGGCAATGGTGTAGTAGTGGTGAGGCTGCGGACCACTGGTAGTCCACGGACCACAGGTTGGGAACCATTACTATAGAGGAAGGTAATGGTAAACCTCCTCCAAATAGATCAGGGGTCCACAAACTTTTTACACAGCGGGCCAGGTCATAGTCCCTCAAACTGTTGGAGGGCCGGATTATAATTTGAAAAAAAATATATGAATGAATTCCTATGCCCAGTGCATGTATCTTATTTGTAGTGCAAAAAACCCCCAAAAAACACTTTAGAACAATACAATAAAATGAAGAACAATTTTAACAAATAAACTTATTAGTATTTCATTGGGAAGTGTGGGCCTGCTTTTGGCTGATGAGATAGGATTGTTGTTGTGTGCTTTCAAGTCGTTTCATACTTAGGTTGATACTGAACGAGGGCCGGGTAAATGACCTTGGAGAGCCGTAGTTTGAGGACCCCTGAAATAGATCTTGGCTAGAAAACCCTAGGATAGCATTGGATTGCCATAAATCGGTGCTCACTTGAAGCCACACAACAGCAACAAATTAGCAATTAAGGCAACATTTTGAAGACATAACTGTGTTAATCAGCTCTAGTTTCTGATACAGACTATATGCTATCCAGTAGTCGCCATCTGCTCGCATACAGAAAGCCATATTTAATAATCTAGAGCTGATATGGCCTATCCAGTGCAATTTTATGAATCAGCACCCCAAATAACCCCAGGAACAGGCCTAAAAACAAAGGCAGCAAGGAACCCCTGCTTCCAGGTGCCACATGGAACAGCTCCACTCGGGGAGGGAGGAGGAGAAAAAACAGCAGTCAGGAGGCTTGTTGATGTGCCTTTTGTAGGTAGTCAGCCTCTCCCCTCCCAACATCCTTGTTGCCCCAGCACTATAAGAGGGTTTTGCAAGACCAGTTGCTCTTGCTCAATGGTGTAGTAACGGTGAGGCCATGGACCATATTTTAGTTCTTGGGGACCACTGCTGTAAATGAACAGGTGAAAGATGCAGGCTTAGCTGTTTGGGTTGTGGTTGGATTCAAAATATCTCATTTTTCCCCTTTTAATTTGTATCCCTGATCAAATAAAGAGTTTGTTCCGAGGGTGGAAATAGTCTGTTTGTAAACATCTTGTCTGTTTCCCGGTGGTAACTTGAAACCCAAATAAATCTCTTTGTAAAATAAGATTTATTGATGTTGGTTCAATACAATCAAGTACTGTAGTTTCAGTTCAGAAGTGAAGGCCAGTTTTTGATCACAAAACAGGAGTGCATTTAAAAACCAAATTTGCTATGAAACAGTGCATGTAACATAAGTATTTACAAAACTAAAAATCCTCTATATACTAGGATAGAAAGGAAAATAGTAGAGGCATTTTTTTTTAAAAAAAAGACAAGAGAAATGGTATATAAAATGCATATGACAATGCATAATTAAAACAAGTCTCCACACCTGTTCTTTACACTGACTGAAACCCAGTTCCCACATCCTTTTTTCCAACATGAAAACCCAGCTTTTGTCACAGACAAAGAGCAGGCAGTGAACACATCCATAAAAATAAGCTCCAATCCATAACTTGCCTATCAGCCTCTCCATCCCATTGTCATTGCTTTTTTCATAATGGCAGCATTTTTTGATATGTTAAAAGGTTTTTAAAATTGTATAAATGCAGTTCTGTATGGGAAGGGAATAGTGAGGCTGCAAAACCTTGCCTATGGGAATGGAATGCTTTAATATGAGGGTTGTTCATTAAAGAGTTCTCTTGACCCACTTCTATTTATCACAGGAAACTGAAACTGCACATGCGTGATGATGTAAGCCACATGTCAACTTACAACTCAGAACTGATAACGTTCTTGATTTGACAGGTGCTGATGTGGTGTGAGGTTTGGTAATGGACCCAGTGGAATACAGAGCAGTCCTCAAGTTCCTTTACTTGAAAGGCCACACACAAAAGGAGACATTCGATGAAAGAGGTTTATGGTGATGATTCCCCATCATGTGCTGTAGTCAAGAACTGGCATCGACAGTTAAAATGTGGTCGGACTTTGGTGCAAACAGCTCCAATTCCAGGATGACCATACTCAGCTATTGATGAACACACCATCCAGCAAGTGGAGGTCGCCATTTTGGAAAATTGCTGCATAACGATTCCCCATATAACTCAAAATGTGAAGATTAGTGTGGGGTCCATGGAAAAAATCACCCAAGACCATCTTCACATGCATAAGGCATCTGCTCACTGAGTCCCTTGGCTGCTCACACCTTTCCAGAAGCAGGAACGAATCGAATGCTCTCAGGCTGTATTGACAGTGATATGCCATGGAAACCAGGAGGACTTTTTCAACAGATTAATCACACAGGATGAAAGCTGGGTCCATCACTATCATCCTGAGACTAAAGCCCACTTGATGAAATTGAAGCATCATGACTCACCACCTCCAAAGAAGGCACGTGCCCAACTCTAGGCAGGCAAGGTCATGCTCACAGTATTTTTTGGGACCAGCACAGGGTAGGATCGATGGATTTCCTAGCAAAAGGTACCATGATCACTGGGGCATACTATGCTTCACTGCTGTGGAAATTGAGACAGGCCATCAAAGCTAAGAAACAATGTGGCATGCACAACAAAGAAGTCCACCTTCTGCAAGACAATGCACCAGTTCACACACATATTGCCCAAATGGAAGCATGCTCCTGTGGCTTTGAAATTCTACTGCATCCCCCTTATTTATCCGACCCTGCACCATTGGACTTCCACCTCTTTCCAACAGTGGAGTTATTTCTAAAGGGCAGGCATTGTTCAGATGATGAGACTCTGATTTCTGAAGTCACAACATGGCTTTTGGAGCAGCCTGTTGACTTCTATAAGTGACGTGTTTACAGTGATTAAAAAGATGGGAGAAGTGTGTGTCCCTAGTTGGCACCTATGTATAGGAGGACTAACAACAGTGCCAAGTTTCATTGCTCTCAGTCCACAGGAAGTGGGTCAGGGGAAATCTTTAATGAACGCCCCTTGTATCTCTGAGCTTGGAGATAAATGTGTACTTCATGTTTTCTGTCTTACCAGCCAGAAAACACAAGTGATCAATCTACAAAGGGGAAAAAAGTTATCTATCATAAGAAATTATTATAAATAAATTGTGTACAAGATACCAAGAACAATGCTTGGATTTATGCGATTCTCTATTGCTGTTAAAGCACTTATCCATCATTCTTTCCCACTTGAGGCAGTGTGACTTTGTTAACTAGTAGCACATTTCCTTTGATCTCTTGGCATTGGAATTGGAAGCTTCACACTCTCCTCCACAGGAAAATACACTTAAGTCAAGAGCACAAGTCTCCCAGAATCTCTCTTCCAATATCAGGCACGTAGAAAATGTGTGGACTTGGCTCCTGCCATTTTAGCCTGTGGTGACTGAATGCAAAATCAAAGATGTTATTGCAAGTGGAATATGCCTTTGGCGTCCTTCTCATCTCAAGGAATGCAAAAAACATCAGACGGAACCAGGAATCTTGGGCCTATGCTTTTGCTCTGTCTAAATCAGACAAACACATTTTAAGTTAAAAGAAAAGAGAAAGCAAGCAAGTTGGCTACACAGCTGAAATACAGGTGACCCAAATGTCAATTCCACACCATCCTTCCTATCCTTTTAAGATATTCTTAAGATCCACAATGCAACTTTTTCTGTCCAATGCCACTCGGAATATTGGATCACATAAGCATTTTGGTGTTATTTTGTATGTCTCAATATTTCTATCTAAAATTAACCTGGCAAAGTAGACTAAGCTCCTTGAACCATACTGTTGGTGTCTCAGGTACTTGGAAAAAACCTGGGCACGAATAATTCCTTTTGCTTTCTTCATAAAAGGTCTATACAGAAAGGGATTCCAAGCATATTGTTTCTCCTGGATGAGGCAGCTCTCTTTTTAGCAACTTAGGGTTATGTATGATCACTTATTGTACAGGCCCAAAGCGTTTGATCCTAGTACACCAGCATTTCTCAACCTGGGGGTTGGGACCCCTGGGGGGGGGCGAGGCAGGCCTGTAGCGAGGGGGGTTTAGGGGTTCAACCCCCCCCCCCCGAAATGTTTCAGATTTTTTTAAAAAAAACCTGGTTTACTCATGAATTTTACCTGGTTAACCAAATCCCCCTGCTAAGTCTACGAGATGCAAAAAATTAAGAGTCCTTCCAGAACTGTAAGCACTATCTCAAGCAAATATTGACAATTTATTCACACTGTCATTACTTGCAGCAATAGCCAGTGTAGTGAAGCAACCAAGTTGGGGTGTGTGTGTGTTGAATGCTCTCATTAAGGAGGCCAGACTTGGTGGAGGTGGTTGACAGGAGCAGGAGCAGAGCTGCAGGCTATTGAAGGCTGTTCTGCCCCCTGCTATGCTCTTTGCTTCAGTGTGAGCTAGGAGGCAGGTTTCAACACACACCCTCGGTGAAATTTTCAACCCCCCCCCCCCGAAAATTTTAACCCCTCCCGAATTTTTTTTCTGGCTACAGCCCTGGCGCGAGGGGGTGTCAGAGGGGTCGCCAAAGACCATAAAAAACACAGTATTAACTGTTGGTCTTGGGGGTTCTGTGTGGGAAGTTTGACCCAATTCTATTTTTGGTGGGGTTCGGAATGCTCTTTGATTGTAGGTGAACTATAAATCCCGGTAACTATAACTCCAAAATGTCAAGGTCTATTTTCCTCAAAGTCCACCAGTGATCACATTTGAGCATATTGACTATTCATGCCAAGTTTTGTCAAAATCCATCATGGTTTGAGTCTACAGTGCTCTCTGGATATAGGTGAACTACAACTCCAAAATTCAAGGTCAATGCCCACCAAACCCATCCAGTCATAAGAGTTCTGTGTGCCAAGTTTGGTTCAATGCCATCGTTGGTGGAGTTCAGAATGCTCTTTGATTGTAGGTTCACTATAACTACCAGCAACTACAACTCCCAAATGACAAAATCAATCCCTTCCCCCAATCAAATTTCAAATTTGTGCATATCACGTATTTGTGCCAAATTTGGTCCAGTGAATGAAAATCCATCCTGCATATCAGATATTTACATTCTGATTCATAACAGTAGCAAAACTACAGTTATGAAGTAGCAACGGAAATAATGTTGTGGTTGGGGGTCAGCACAACTTGAGGAATTGTATTAAGGGGCCACAGCATTAGAAAAGGTTGAGAAATGTAGTACACTAAGATATCGAGAAGCTTTTAGTGTACACTGTAGTACATTAAGATATTGAGAAGCTTTGAACTACCTTGTGGCGTGGAATACAAAAAGAGACATTTCAAGCAGTATTGATATAAAGTGGTAGAAATGCATCAGACAATGAAAATGTTAGTTAATTATTGAAATCCTTGCACACAACACTTTCCACCTTTAAAATATATTGCACTATACTGAATAACTTTTAAAGTAGCTAACATTAATAGCACTGTTGTAAAAAAAGTATTGAATGGAAATGTATGGTGGCCTCCCAGGGTTTTTAAATAAATTGCACGGGTGATGGGTTGCCCCACCTCCCGTGACAAAGTGTAGACATCTTGGACAAAACGATCTATGCACTGGCACTTTGACGATGTCAACAATTCAATCTTTCTCAAGTCAAGCCAGTAGCAACTGGAGCAATGCCTGCAGTGCCTTAACACTGGGATTGTCAACAGCATTGGTGGAACCTTAGATTTCCAGACTGCTGAATTTCAGATAATGGAAAATTTGCTCTTTGAGTACTGCAGAGTTGTCTTTGTTTTTTTTTTTAAGGGGATTCTGGAATACGTTTCCCATCCCCTTTTCCATATAACTGCTCTAAAGATCTGCTGAGCCTTGTGTGAAAAGGTGCTTTCCAAACTTCGACAATGTGTCTTCTTTTTTTGTCTCAAGAGACCGACTGAATCACATTTTGAAACGACAAACTGAAACATGGATCAATGCTAAAATTTGGAAGAAGGTGCCTTAAGGCAATAAAGGAAGTCTACAACTTTGTGTTGTAGGCCGTAGTCCTCCTGCACACTGCTGTCTCATCAAATGCCTTCTGTGTGGCCTAGGAGAATCGTTTGGCAGCTAATCCCCAAGTTGGCATCTGTATTCGATGTGCAGTCTCTAGGGTAATTCTGAATACAAACATTGTACAACAACCACCAAGTTTTCTCTTCCATATTGACTCCTTGGCTTGGTCAAAACGGTCCCCAAACTACTGATTTGCGCCATCTTTCCCGCGACTTTTGTATTTTTAATAGTTTAAAAGAAGTAGTTTATGGCTAAAGTGGATGAAAGGAGGCGTGCCCAACAGCCGTTATGTGGGGCACAGAAGGAATCCCGAAAATGAAGAATGGATGTATTCGGTGGAATAAAGACCATTGGCTTGATCTGATGGCATCTGGATCCAGACCTGGTCGTTTTCTTTAAGTTCAAGCACAGCGCTACCTGAAGCTTGGTCCAAGTAGCCTTTTTTGTATTCGTCGTAGGTGTACGTGGCAGGCACGTTGTTTTTATACAGCGCCACCCAGACATTAGTTCCTTTAACGTGGACATGATAAGCAAAGTAATAAATGCCAGAAATGGGACAGGTAAAGATCCCCGTCACTGGATTGTAGCCATTCTGCCCATTGTACAAAGTCCTGTCGAATTTGACTGGCATTCCTGAAGCTGGGAATGGTGAGGTCAAGATAGCGGTGAAGGCAGGTAACATCTGGGCAGATAGTTCTCCTCGGCCAAACTGGGGTTTCCCGGGCTTGCCATTCCCCAGGACTGCCCCCTCTACACCACCATCGGGAAGATGGAGGCCGGCAATGCCTGTCTCGTCAAACACCCCTGGGGCACCCGGTGGCCCTGGTGGACCCGGTGGCCCTGGTCGCCCATTTAATCCAGGATTGCCGGGAACCCCTTGTGGCCCAATGGGTCCTATAATGCCTGGTTCCCCCACTTTGCCAACTCCTGGGGCTCCTGGGAAGCCAGGCTCTCCTTTCAGTCCTGGTAAACCTTGAGGCCCCATTGGGCCAGAAGGGCCTTGTAGCCCCGGTATCCCCGATGAGCCTCGGAGGCCTGGCTGCCCTGGGATGCCAGCGTCCCCCTTTGCCCCCGAGGGCCCTGTCAGTCCTGGCACCCCTGGGAGCCCCATGAAACCAGTTTCTCCCTTGGGGCCTGTTGGGCCTTGCAACCCTTGGGACCCTGGCAAGCCTCTCTCCCCAGGAATCCCTGGCTTTCCCACAAAACCACTGGGCCCTTGATCCCCACGCATGCCTGGTAGTCCAGGAGGCCCAATGGGCCCAGCTTCCCCTTTACCACCTGGAATTCCATGTTTGCCTGGCATACCCATAGAACCGGGAGGGCCTGGGGACCCAGGCATACCGGGAGGACCCATGTCACCTACTTCTCCATCCATTCCTGGCTCTCCCTTGTCCCCAATGAGTCCTGGGACACCTGGCTGTCCACGGTCTCCCTTCAAGCCAGGCAGACCGGGCTTTCCGTATCCTGTAGGGCCAGGCATTCCTGGGAGACCCCGCAGACCAGGTTCACCCTTGGGGCCCAAGGGCCCTTGCAAGCCTGGCACACCTGATACCCCTGGCACACCAATTCCATCCACACCTGGTGGGCCCCGTGGGCCCATGGGTCCAGGCTCCCCACTAATCCCTGGCTCACCTGGGGGGCCCGAGTCACCTTTGTCACCTGGAGCACCAGGCAAGCCATCGAGACCAGGTTTCCCAATGCTTACAGGCCCTGCAGGTCCTGGAGGCCCTGGAGGCCCACTATTCCCTCGTGGTCCTATCAGTCCTGGCTTGCCAATTCCATTTTCACCCTTCATACCACGCTCACCACGAGGGCCAGGCTCTCCTTTTGCACCTGGCTCCCCCCGAAATCCTGGTAGTCCTGGGCTACCGCTTGCTCCCGGTTTGCCGTTAACAGAGATGCCAGCTGGTCCAGGCAGCCCTGGTGGGCCAGGGAGTCCTCTTGGCCCTTGGTCGCCTCTCATGCCAGGCTCACCATTCACCCCAGGCATTCCTTTCATCCCTGCCTTGCCAGGAAGCCCTGGGTTGCCCGGTTTGCCAATGCCAGAAAAGCCAGGTGGACCAGCAGGTCCTGGTTGACCATGAAGCCCTGGTTTTCCAACTCCCGGCTTCCCAGGATATCCAGGTGGGCCGGGTGGTCCTCTTGGGCCAGGCTTTCCAGGAGGGCCGGGTTCTCCTTTGAGGTCCATTGGAAGCAGTGGTGGCATATCTGTGAAGAGAAGGACACTTCGATAAAGACCATGAACAAATGGAGTAGTAACAAAAGTCAAGAGAAGTGGCGATTCAGGCAGCCTGTTAAATCCAAGCTATGGATGGCTCTCAAGACCATTTCCCTTTGCATGTTGCTAGAGAATGTGGCTTCTGTTGCCCTAGCATGGATTTACCTGTTCAGGTAAGGTCCTTTGCTTTTGGGATCCTAAGGAAATAGGATGCCTGAACTACAAATTATACTATTGTTATCAATCAACATCATTGTCATTATTATTTCCCATTTTTCTCGGTCTAGGATTCAAGTCTGCTTGGAAAGGTTAAAACAGACAACATTTTAAAAATAATATACAAACATTTAAAATATAAGTAATAATATTAAAGGCAAGACTATTAAAAAGAAAGCAGCAAACAGTATAGAACACCCTGAAAGGCCCTTTTGCTCCTGAACCATCAGCCATTCAGTGCATGCTGAAACAAGTAACTTTTAGTTGCCTCCACAGCGTGGGAGCAACCACTGAGAAGGCCCCATGATCTCCCCAGGCGTACCTGTGGGGGGGTGGAACAGAGAAGAACCTCTGTAGAAGATCTCAGAAGAGACAGGCCCATATGGGAAAAATATGGCCTGAAGCTTTTTCACAGATATTTCAGCCCTTAGTTCAGCGTTTCTCAATCTGGGAATCGGGACCCTGGGGGGGGGGGGGGTCACAAGGGAGTGTCAGAAAGGTCGGCAAAGACCACCAGAAAACACAGTATTTTCTGTTGGTCATGGGGATTTTGTGTGGGAAGTTTGGCCCAATTCTATCGTTGGTGGGGTTCAAAATACTCTTTGAATGTAGATGAACTATAAATCCCAGCAACTACAACTCCCAAATATCAAGGTCTATTTTCCCCAAAGTCCACCAGTGTTCACACTTGGGCGTATTGAGCATCCGTGTCAAGTTTGGTCCTGATCCATCATTTGAATTCACAGTGCTCTCTGGATGTAGGTGAACTACAACTCCAAAACACAAGGTCAATGCCCACCAAACCCTCCCAGTATTTTCGGTTGGTCATGGGAGTTCTGTGTGCCAAGTTTGGTTCAATTCCATCGGTGGATTTCAAAATGCTATTTGATTGTAGGTGAACTATAAATCTCAGCAACTCCCAAATATCATGGTCTATTTCCACAAAGTTCACCAGTGTTCACATTTGGACATTTTGAGTATTCCTGCCCAGTTTGGTCCTGATCCATCATTGTTTGAATTCACAGTGCTCTCTGGATGTAGGTGAACTACAACTCCAAAACACAAAGTCAATGCCCACCAAACCTATCCAGTATTTTTGGTTAGTCATGGGAGTTCTGTGTACCAAGTTTGGTTCGATTCCATCATTGGTGGATTTCAAAATTCCATTTGTAGGTGAACTATAAATCCCAGCAACTACAACTCCCAAATCACAAAATCAATCCTCCCCAACCCCAGCAGTATTCAAATTTGGGGTTGTGCCACATTAGGTCCAGTGAATCAAAACATATCCTGCATATCAGATATTTACATTACGATTCATAACAGTAGCAAAATTACAGTTATGAAGTAGCAATGAAAATAATGTTATGGTTGAGGGTCACCACAACATGAGGAACTGTATTAAGGGGTTACAGCAATAGGAAGGTTCTCTCTCATTTGTTTGGTTTCTATGCACTGTGTATACTGTTTTATATGTTGTGATGTGTTATACTTTAATGTTATGTTGTTTATTTTACTGCAATTTGTATTTTTATATTGAAGTTGTTGTTTGGGCTTGGCCCCATGTAAGCCGCTCCAAGTCTCCATTGGGGAGATGGTGGCGGGGTATAAATAAAGATTATTATTATTATTATTATTATTATTATTATTATTATTATTATATATCTCCTCCTGAGAAAAATGTATAATATCACAAAGGACTACCACCTCACCCGCCTCATAGGAAACCTGCTACAAAACAGGAGCTTTTTTGTTGAGTTCCAGGGCCAGAGAAGGAGATGGCGGAAACAGAAGAACGGCCTGCCTCAGGGGAGCGTGCTCGCCCCATCTATGTTCAACGTTTACACAAATGACCAGCCACTGCCAGAAGGGACAGAGAGTTTCATCTATGCTGATGATCGTGCCATTACCGCTCAAGCAGGGAGCTTTGAGATGGTTGAACAGAAGCTCTCCGAAGCTCTAGGTGCTCTTACTGCCTTTTACAGGGAAAACCAGCTGATCCCTAATCCATCTAAAACACAGACATGTGCCTTTCACCTTAAGAACAGACAAGCATCCCGAGCTCTGAGGATTACCTGGGAAGGAATCCCACTGGAGCATTGCAGCACACCCAAATACCTGGGAGTCACTCTGGACCATGCTCTGATCTACAAGAAGCACTGCCTGAACATCAAGCAAAAAGTGGGCGCTACAAACAATATCATATGAAAGCTGACTGGCACAACCTGAGTATCACAACCAGACACAGTGATGACATCTGCCCTTGCGCTATGCTACTCTGCTGCTGACTACGCATGCCCAGTGTGGAACACATCTCACCACACTAAAATAGTGGATGTGGCTCTTAATGAGACATGCCGCATTATCACAGGGTGTCTGTGCCCTACACCACTGGAGAAATTGCACTGCTAAGCCGGTATTGCACCACCTGACATCCGCTGGGAAGTAGCAACCAATAGTGAAAGGACCAAGGCAGTGACATCTCAAACTCATCCCTTGTTTGGGTATCATCCAGCACGTCAACGACTTAAATCAAGAAATAGTTTTCTTAGATTTACAGAGACACTCGCTGGAACACCTCAGCAAGCGAGAGTCCAAAAGTGGCAGGCTCAGACCCAGTACCTCAATCCGTGGGTGATACCAGATGAGAGACTCCCTCCTGGGCACACAGAAGACTGGCCGATTTGGAAGGCACTGAACAGACTGCGCTCTGGCACCACGAGATGCAGAGCCAATCTTAAGAAATGGGGCTACAAAGTGGAATCCACGACATGCGAGTGTGGAGAAGAGCAAACCACTGACCACCTGCTGCAATGCAACCTGAGCCCTGCCACATGCACAATGGAGGACCTCCTTGCGGCAACACCAGAGGCACTCCAAGTGGCCAGATACTGGTCAAAGGACATTTAATCAACTACCAAGTTTGCAAAATTTGTGGTTTTTTAATCTGTTTGTTTGTTTTGTTCTGTTAGAAATGTAATACAATGTTCTGGTTGCGGATAAATAAAAAAGAAAAAGATCTTCAATGTATTGTCGAAGGCTTTCATGGCCGGAATCATTGGGTTGTTGTAGGTTTTTTGGGGCTATATGGCCATGTTCTTGAGGCATTCTCTCCTGAAGTTTCGCCTGCATCTATGGCAAGCATCCTCAGAGGTCTTGGAACAGTTTCCCCCCGTAGAGATGTTCAATGTATTGTCGAAGGCTTTCATGGCCGGAATCCATGGGTTGTTGTAGGTTTTTCCGGGCTATATGGCCATGTTCTGGAGGCAATTTTTCTCATGACATATAGCCCGAAAAAACCTACAACAACCCATGGATTCCGGCCATGAAAGCCTTCGACAATACATTGAACATCTCTACGGGGAGAAACTGTTCCAAGACCTCTGAGGATGCTTGCCATAGATGCAGGCGAAACGTCAGGAGAAAAATTGCCTCCAGAACATGGCCATATAGCCCGGAAAAACCTACAACAACCGATGGATTCTGGCCATGAAAGACTTCGACAATTATTATTATTATTAGGTTCCTACAATAAAACTGAGTTTCTTTCTCCATGCCATTGGTGTGTTTCCTCCTTAAATCAAGATCTCTAACCGCTGCATGCACTTTGTCCCTTTTCCCAATTTTCACCAGTCTTTTGACTAGCAGTTGTGTTGGATCGCATCTCCCATGGTGCACACTGAGACACTGGCTGTAGTCCAAATACATCTAGATGGCAGGAGCCCTCGGTGGCGCAGTGCCGAGGGGACTGAAGACCGACAGGTCGCAGGTTCGAATCTGGGGAGAGGCGGATGAGCTCCCTCTATCAGCTCCAGTTCCTCATGCAGGGACATGAGAGAAGCCTCCCACAAGGATGATAAAAACATCAAAAATCATCCAGGCGTTCCTTGGGCAACGTCCTTGCAGACGGCCAATTCTCTCACACCAGAAGTGACTTGCAGTTTCTCAAGTCGTTCCTGACACGAAAAAAAAATTCTAGATGGCACCAAGTAAGGGGAGGCTGTTCCATCTCACTCCAGTGGAAAAAACCATACGTATCCCAAGAAGGTTTGGCTATCGTTCGATTATTTCCTCCAACCATTGGGAAACTAATTCTCCAAATTAGATGCACATGTGTAGGGAAAGACACAGATGGCATCGACAGATGCACACACCCCAAACTTGGTGAGTGTATGGAAGTGGTGGGTGGGTAGATTATCTTCTGTTTTAAGAAAAAGCAGGGGAAAAAGTACCAGACATTCCTGATTTTACCCTCTGGGAAGATCTGAAGCTCATCTGCATATCAAAGGCTTACCCATACCCACCATCATAGTTAAGGCTGCGTGGACAGCTCAGGAAATCCACTTCTTGACACGATATAATAAAACAGCCAAAAAGAGAACCATTTAAGCTTGTATGCTTAAGGAAAAGGCCTTTCCCCCCTTCTTCGTCTTCTTTTGGCATTGGGGAACATGCCTTCCGTAGGAAAAATTATTTCAATATGTTTTTATTGCTAGAGTCGTGAGTTTGAAAATAATTGGTTTTCTAGGTCAGCACAAGGAAGCAAGTTAGGCCTACAAGGCAAAGGAAGCAAAACAAAACCCTAGTGTTACCGAGAGGGGTTTTGGGGAGCCGGGAAGGAGGGGGACCGGCTGGCAACGGATAGAGCTTGCCAACTCCAGCCAGCCAAGGAAGGAGACAGGAAAACCAAACCGGGGACGCTGGCTGCACAGGGAAAGTGGGGCACCGCCGGCCTGGTGGGATTCGATTTCAAAAGAACACGTTTGGCCACAGA